TCACAATGAAACTGTGTGATGAAAAGTGGCCATATAAACTGTTATAAATTTCACTAAAGATTCATTCATGAGAGAAAGTCAAGCTTAATGTCATATGATTTCTTTGTTGTATAATACAAAACAATGAAAAACTGGAGACCAACACCCAGAGGTCAAAGTCATAGGGTTCAGGCCATCATTTATTGAACAGCCCTCGTAAGTTGTGCTATTACATTTTCAACAGATTGCCAGACGATCTGGACCCTGGATCATGAAACAGACTTAGACTTAAAATGTTTCATGATCATAAGGCCAGGCCCCAGAATCATGAAACAGACTTAGATTTAAGTCAAATTTTCAAGCACCTGTTAAATTTTCATTTATTATTGAATTAACCTCAAGATTTGCAAATAACAAAACTTTTGTGAATCAATATTGAAACATCTTTTAATTTTTATCTTCTTAAGTTCTACAACATTTACCATCGGCATCGGCCGATCGAGATCAAAAAGTAAACAGTGTTTCGCACATCATCAATAAATTGTCTCTGATATAATATTCCGAACTTTAAAAAAAAATTAAATGAATTTACAAAATGAATATTTTGACTTACGCTTAAGAAGTTTCATGATCCTGGGGACTGGTCTCCAAAACTTTTCTGGTTATATTTTCAGTTATAGTTCACAATTTTTCTAGTGAAATTGGTATATATTTGTTTCAACGATTTTTATTTACTTACTAGTAACCGCAAATGAATTTAGTACATGTAGTTCACTCATATGAATACTAGTACATGTAGTTCACTCATATATTTTTCTCGATTGATTACTGTTAGTTATCTTCATACCGGTAGTAAGAATGCAGGAGGGCAAACAAATATCATTCTGTTTTCAAAAACTTTCTTATAAGTGAATCAAATCCATTGTACAGATCGCGATTATACGTACCATGTTCTTTTTATGCTTTTGCATCTTCTAAGCTTTTGTGTCTCTAATTCCAGTTCACTGAGATATAAAGGTTGACGTATAAATGAAAGTAATAATTGTCATAGTTGAAACATATCTAAATGTCGAGTTGATGGCCAAAGCAAGAGTTTCCTTTTTTACATGAAGATTGATTAATTGTATATTGTTTAACGTCCCTCTCGAACATTTTTCACTCATATGGAGACGTCACCGAATGCCGGTGAAAGGCTTCAAATTTAGACCTATACTCGGGCCATTGAGCAGTGAGGGTTCTTTATCGTGCCAGCGTCTATCGTGACACGGGACCTACGTTTTTAAGGTCATATTCGAAAGACCCGTGACTTTCACTTCTGATGCCGAGCGCTTGGCGAAAGAACAGTCACTACCTATTTTTACGTCTTAGTTTTGACGCGAACGAGAATCGAACCCGGGCCTCCCGATCACGAAACGAACGCTCTACCACTAGGCTACCGTGAATGGTTTTTACATGACGAAGTGTTTGAACAAAATTTGCTTCACAAAATAAAGAAACACGTCGGCTAAAAGGGAGCAAACTTAGTAGTTAAACGCCATTTACTGGAAGACTGAAGTGGTCTCCAAAAATACATTTATATTTAGAGATATTCAGTGAGGACATTTTTTTCTTCAGATTATGTAGAATCAGAATGATTTTTAGAGAAATTTTGTAGATGACAAATCACAAGACATAAAGTTCGAAATGAGTTTCGTTTTAAAGGAGGACAAGTTGTCTATGATGTCAAAGACGTCATGTCAAAAAAGCTGCTTTTCCATTTTTACTGAGGAGTGGTTGTAAATAGCATTGAAAAATTGTATGTTTTGATTATACTGATAATTTAGAGTTTCTGATATTTTAAATTGCCCGAGAGATTTCTTTTAATCCCCATATGATTTATTACACTTTTTTGCATACGTTGTGGAATTTACAACACTTCTTGCATACTAGTACGGTGTGGAATTTACAACACTTCTTGTATATTAGTATGTTGTGGAATTTACAACAGTTCTTGTATATTAATTAGTACGTTGTGGAATTTACAACACTTCTTGTATGTTAATTAATAGGTTGTGGAATTTACAACACTTCTTGTATATTAGTATGTTGTGGAATTTACAACACTTCTTGTATATCAGTGCGTTGTGGAATTTACAACACTTCTTGTATATCAGTGCGTTGTGGAATTTACAACACTTCTTGTATATTAATTAGTCCGTTGTGGAATAAACAACACTTCTTGTATATTAATTAGTACGTTGTGGAATGTACAACACTTCTTGTATATTAATTAGTACGTTGTGGAATTTACAACACTTCTTGTATATTAGTACGGTGTGGAATTTACAACACTTCTTGTATATCAGTACGATGTGGAATTTACAACACTTCTTGTATATCAGTACGTTGTGGAATTTACAACACTTCTTGCATGTATTGTGGAACAATACGTCCTTTTTATTTTGACGGGGAGTTAGGGTATGGACTTGATTGAACTTTCACTTGACCTACAATATATTTTGTTTGTAAGAAAGCCAAGTTCAAAATCAAGTACATTTCCTGGAAGATGACGTTGGAGAATTTAAATCATTCTTTGAATGGGGACTTTGAGTAAAGTTTGGAATACCACTTGTGGAACTTAGATAATTTTTCAATGAAAATAATAATAAAAACTAACTTTTCTTTCTGTTTTCAGTAACTCAGAATGAAAAAAGGAAATAGATAGAATACATAGTGGGTACTTACTGGTCCCTGCTGACAAAGCAGGTAACGTTGACTTATTGAAAATGCTCACAAAAATGTCTCTGGTTCCTTAAAGTAAATTAATCACTTCTAATTTCATATCATATTAATAAACGTTGGTATCTATGGTTAGATTAAAATGAACCTCAATTTCTTTAAATATGTAATTCTAAAATAATTTTACGGTGTAAAAATTTTGACTTTTTATAAGACCTTTCTGAGAACTTCAAAGAACCTTGAAGTACATTGAGAGGTATAAAATAAAAATTCTTGCATGAAAAGATTTAATTTTCAATCTTCATTTGAGACTCTTTGAATTAAATTATAAATTAAAGAGTTGTCCTTCCTGGCTGAGTATCGTAGTACCTTAATCCAACTTTTACTCATAGTTTCCTTTCTAAGGAGGAAATTCTTCAAAATCATGTGTCAGTTAATATATTTTTCATATTCCTAACAACCAGAATGAATTTGAATTACCATATCTATATTGGATTCCAAAACTTCATAAAAATCCTTACAAACAACGAAACATAGTGGTTTCCAGTGAATATTCTACCAATACTCTTTCTTAACTCCTCCCAAAAAACTATTAACAGTAGTGAAGGAGAAACTTCAGGAGTACTATATAACAATATATTCGAGAAGTGGTGTTCATCAGATGTTGATATTAAAAATTCCAAGGAACTTTTGGAAAATTTGAAATCACAAATGTTTAGGGCAATTGCTGGGTAGGGGATTTATTCTTTCGCAATTTTAACGTTATACACAATTTTCTTATAAAATGGCTTTTTCACATCATTACACTGCTTTTTCAATAAAAATGGTAATTGGTAAATTTACTTACCTGGTCACTGGTCATTTGCAAAATTATTTTGTTAAAACACATTCTGATGCACACACAAGGAGGGAAGTTGACATCAAAAAAATTGATGAATATCAGGGGTTTCAACAGTCTTCCAACAATCATTTCGCAAGTTATATGGTCGACAGAATAACCTTCACAGAAAATACAACTGAATTTATCATTGATAGACCATTTTAAATCTACGGATTTTTCCGTTTGCCCAAATATGAAAAGGAACATGTGGCTGTGGCCTTCGAATTTTCAATTAACTAGTTAATTTCCAACCTATGTTGATACGATGTTTTAGAGGCCCATGTTTGATCTACTCCTGATTTGTATTGTTTGATTTCATAGACTTTTCTCACAGTGGGACAGGGAGAGCATATCTGTATCTCAGTAGGTGCTGGCATGAAAAAATTCGGCTCTGAATGTCGAGTGTAAGTCTAAATTTGCAGTCCTCCACCTAGACAAAGCCATCGACAAAAAAAGTGTCGTTGTAAATAGAGAGTTGTTATGTACAATGATTGAACCTAAAGTTCTCTGGTGTGTGTCAGCAGTTTCTTAATCTGAGAGCTACGTTCTGTAGCTACCCTCCACCGGAATGTGATGGCGTCTCCATATGTGTGAAAAATTCTCTTGAGGAACGTTCAGCAACAGTTTTAAAAAATACCCGCTAAATATTTTTTTGAATCCGATCAAGGGTTTCCTGTTGACAAAAAACAAAATGATTTCCGAATATTTATTTCATAAGGGATGTCAATATGGCGGCAATAATAGGCATCTTCATGGTACATGTATAAACAACGTGTTCCCAGAACTCCTCCTAAACTTTAGGCAGTAGCAGAATCACCCTTTGAAATACGATTTGTGGTGTCATGTAGATATGCAAAAAGGTGGCTCGCATATAAGTATTTAAGTGTCCTGTAGGTATGCAGTAATGTAAGATTTTGGAATTAATATTTCTCCATGAGAAGATCATATAAAATCTTATTTTACAAAAAAAAAAAAATTCCAAAATTCAGATTAAAACAAAAAATATGCTTCATGTAATATTCTTTTACTTTCATACTTTCCACAGTTTATTACATGTATACTGAAAAAAATACCCACACACAAGCATATAAACATTTCATGTTCAATTTTATACAAAAACTTGGCAAATTTTTAAACAATATCGTTTCTCTTGCCAGGATACGAAAAATACATTTAGAGCTACAATGTAGGCATCTCTTGTGCTAATGAATGCATCAGATTCACATATTAGTACACTGTACGTAAGCATGATTTGACTAGAATATCAGATTCAACAAATCTTAAACACTAAAATAACATTGGCATGACGAAACCAAGATTTCATGAAGAGTGCTGTTTACTTTTCCAAGTTGATTGATAACATGTCAATGAGAACACTACAGTCTAAGTATAATCTTTTGTTTATGCAGACATACATGAATCATTAAACTATCTAGTCACAGGGATAAATTTTCAACATGTAATTTGGTATTAAACATAATGAAAAATGCTCAAAATTCACACAATTTCAAGATGATTATCATTAAATGAATAAACTATAACTTCTGTAGCTTTCATTTTTCCATGTGTGACAAACAAATGCATATCACCAGACAGCGCCACACCCTGTGGATGCAACAACCCGTCTTCTGCTGAAACAATGTTTCTGAGGAATTCCCCTCTCTTTGAGAATAATGCCACACGGTCGTTGTAATGATCCGCCACGATGATGTTTCCTTCTCCGTCTGACGTCACGCCATGAGGAGACTTAAACGCTCCCTCCTGACGGCCAAATTGTCCAAATGCGAATTTGAAGTTACCATGTTCATTAAAGACTTTGACGCAATGATTTCCAGAATCAGACACAATTATGTCGCCATTGATGCTGATATGTACATAGCGGGGAGATTGGAACTGCTGAATGGGTGACAATGGGTCTCCAAGATTAAACAACCATTTTCCCTCCGGAGAAAAAACCGACACGTCATTAGATAACGCATCCGTTACTATGAACCGACCAATTTTGTCTACCGCTACACCAGAAGGGCACTGAAAAAAGTTACCTCCAAAAGAGAACAGAATATCTCCATGCATTGAAATGACTGATACATTTTTGTCTTTTCTAGATGTGACGGCGATTTTATTTTCTGAGATTATGGCTGAGGACCATGGTTCTCTTAATGCCCAACTACACCTTATGATTTTTGGTCTACCTTCTCGGTTGAAGGTCGAAATTCGTCCATTGATCATGTCTGTTACTATACACTTTCCCCTGCCCAAACTCTGCACATCCGTGGCATCTTTGAAACAGCCTTTCTGCTTACCTTCACATCCGAAAATTTTCATTAAAGCAGCACGAGGATAAGAATCATTATCGAATGTGAAGATTGCGTTCACGTGACCATCTGGATTTTCTGTCACGTGACAATCTTCTTCCTCTTCTTCGCTGGAGCTATCAGAGGATAAATCCAGATAGTTTTCGTATGGTGATGCGCTGAGATTATCCATTCCGCTTCCAATGGAGGATGATGATTGAACACTGTTGAGGCTAGAGGAGTTCATTGCAAGCCTCTTTTTCATCCTACTAATGAGGCCGGATTTTCTCTGTGTCGGCGATGACTCGTTGTTGATGATTGTATCTGTCGATGAACTTTTGGTCATTGACTTCATTTTCCTTTTTATTTCGTACAGGTCGTGTTCTGAAAAAAAGTAATATGATATTGTTAAATGTTTTCTGTTGGCAAATTACACAAAAATATGACGGACATTTTGAGTGACCAAGGCAAAGAATAAACTTGACAAAAACGTATAGTATGAATCATTGATTGTGTCAGGATTGACATACTATATAATTGTACATGTACTTACTTTTGAATATAATATTGTAATTCTACATAAACTAGTTTATTTTGAACCAATTACATGGGTTGAATTTCTCACAAGGCCTTTGAAAGAATTTTATTCATTGACAATATAACAACATATTACAAGTAATTTATGTCATAGTGTCGGTGAACCAACATCTGATTATCCGTATATGTGTGACAATAGGCTGCCTCATCATGTTTTCATTACGAAAGAAGCCGGATGAGCTGTTATACGCCTACTCATACATATATAGGTCACGTTCTGAATACAAAAATTAAATAATAAATACGGGAAACATTCCGGAAAACTAAGTTTATATTCATTTTTAAGTCCATAAACCGATTTACTCCATGTGGAAATTATCATACATTCCAAGAAACACAAATCTGAATTGCAAATACGGAGAAGATATTTTTTTACAATTCCAAGACAACTGAACATATTAATTAGTTTTTACTAGAAATCTATAAAAAATATATATATATACATGTATAGGAAAGTAAACAAATCAGACCGAATTGTTACATGACAAATTATCCCTCTGTGATTAAAAGGTCAAGAACATAAAACATACCAGAACGTGATTTCTATTACAGGTTATCCCTTCTTTCGCATTTATCAAACAGTAATCACTGCGTCTAAGATAAAACTACACTGGATTCAATTTATATAGCATTCCCTAACCCTCCCTTTCTATTTTTTACACCCTGAACAATTTCAGTCTCAAACACAAAAGGTCACGCCGATTATTTATGTTATTGGTGAGATTACCAAAATGTTTGCAAACACACGAGTAACGCAAACAATCCCCATATTGCCCTAAGGAGGATACTTTCAAAACCCCTGTCATTGGCGACGCTAATTCTTAAGAATGCCCTCTTTATATTGATTCTGATCTTATGCACACACAATAACATGTTATGAGCCTCTCTGACTTTTTCTATGACACCCCGGGTTCTTATTCTTTCTGTTCTTAAACCTGTGACGTAATGCTAATTTTTTATTTGTTTTAATTGTCATAATCTTAATCTTTGATATGTAAACTTCGGATTACGCAAATATTCTGTTTTCTTAAAAACATGCTTGTTTTTTTCTATTTGCTCGCTATTGCTTTTTTTTCAATTGTCGAATTATGAATGTCACAATATTCAGACTTTGGGTCACGTTGGTTTAATTGGATTAATCTATTTAAAATTCTTTTCATTTTTTGTTGTACGATTTTCACCAAATTTTATTTGTATAATAATTGAACATGCTTAGAGGGCCCCAAGAAGACAAGGGCTTAAAATTGTATATAGTACAATTTACTAACAAGGCATAAACCATGGACCCCCGGAAATTCCAAAAGTGGAATCGAAACCCTATATGAAGACAGTGACTGTTCAAATAGTAAGCATCTGGTGTCGATGGTTTACACCCGCAGTGAGCCGATGTCAGCCAAAAAGACAACCCGTGGATAGGTTTGAAACGAAAAAGACACCGTAAAGCGGAGCATCCCCTCAAAAAAAAATCAAGAGAACATTCAACATCGATCCCGATGCAAAAACGCCGTTTCGCACAGAAACACACTAAAACACACACAAATGCACAAGGGTGTTTCTAATTTCTATATTCCCTCCATCTTCGTTGGGAGATGGAAAAAGTTGGTAGCATATAAGTTTTTTTATGTTTGGTGATTAAACCAAATACATTCAAACACACATTTATAACAACACATTAAATTATGCTATTAACATCTTATATTATTAGCAACGCAAAAAAAAAATCTTCAGATTTTACACTCTATTATTCAAAATCATACCATTGCTAAAAGAGATGGGTTTCGGATTTCCGATAACTTTTTACTTCATATTTTCTTTCAATTGCAAACTTTAAAATCGTTATTCACATGATAAATTTTATTAGGATTTTTAGTATATGAGTAGGACACTTACCGTTTTCGGTCATGCAGGAGAATCTTCGATGTTCTTCCATCGTGTATATTTATATACTCGCACAATCTTTCAAAAAGAAAAGAAAAATATCAATAAAAAGAGTTACGGACAATATATTGACAAGGTACTGCACAAAAATTATCACTATGTAAAAGTTACATCAATATTTGAGAAAATAAGAATTTACACAAGAACGGCTTCAGACAATGATTTTCAAAGTGTTTACATTGGTTACTTATTGTGTACTATCCAAACACAGCTCCGCCTTTGGGACGTAACGAAGAAGATCGAACACGAGTGAGATCAATTTTCTTATTTTATCAAAAATGAATGGCTTTTTTTTTCAAGAAACTTACAACAACAAAGACAACAACAAATCAAAATGTGGTCATTTTTTATGCTGTTAATTAATTAATTAAAACATCATTCAACTTCCACAAAAAAAAGTACATTATTAAATTGTGCAAATGCACTGCCATAGATTAGATTACACGTTTTCCAACACCAGAGAGGGTCTCGCACATTGACTATATCTTACCTCTGAATGTTTTAAGAAAGTGGCATTTGTCGAATCAAGGACGGATTAATTTTTACCCCTCTGAGCTTTGTTCACAATAACGAGGTTTTGAATGGATTTGACCATGTTGACAAACAACGAAGACCACGGGGATCGCCTGCGGATTAAACCACTTCTTACCATACACCCAGTAAAATCAGACCAGTTTTAGTCGTACGATTCGTAATTGATACCCGTGTTAATTCATCTATAGTAAGAGCAATGTAAAAATGGGGATGCTTTGCTGATATTTGTAAGCAGAAATAGACGATCAAATTACAACACACAATGCTTTCGAGTCCTTGGTAGGTTCTGGTCCCCGGATTGTTTTACTTTTTCATCACATTTTATTTTTGCGAAATTCAAGGACTTCATAAAATAGCCATCGGTAAAAAAAAAAAGAGTGGTATTTTTCGTGATCTATAAAGACCGAGAATCTACGAATCTACGTTTTTTCCATCTCGTAGCCATACAGAATAATAGGTTGTTTTGATTTTTTAACACCCGATCCCCCTATTTTACTGCTGAATTCCTTACGACAGAATTCCTTTTTAATTGTTCCATTTAAAGCTTTAAGGTCACGGCGCATTTAATTTTACAGAAGCTACAGAAATATGGGCATGCAACTGTATAAAAGTACAGAAAGTGAAATTAATATAACTAAATTCTCTACCCCCTCTTTTTTGAATACTTGATTTTCCTTCGATATAGCAAGCTATCGTTTCTATAGTTATCAATAAATGTTTATAGTTGAGTAGTTAAGAATTTTTAATTCCATTACTATTATTTTTATCATTAGTTTCTGTCCGAAAAAAAGTTAAGAAGGGAGTTTCCGTCTGATATTATCGGGGAAGGAAGGGGGGGGGGGGGGGCTGAGAATCAATAACAATTTGGTCCCTGCCATTTTGAGAAGGCCATATAAAGATTTTTCATGGGTTCTGTGATATCAACCCGTTATTTTGCTGAATTGTCGATTTCTTTTGGGATATATGTTGGATAACAACATTGCTGGGTCGTCACCAAGAGATAAAAGGTGGCAAAAGATTATACTTTTTAAAATTTTTCAAAGGATAATCTACATCGTGGTTTACTTTTGGAATCAATAACATTGCGTGTTTTGAATGCATAATCAAATGGCTTTTAATTCTTTTAATAACTGAAGTTCATGGGACAACATACAGATATCATAAGGGATTCGAAATGAAATTGTTCTAAAGTTTGGCCTCGTTAGGAATAAAAGTTCTTTAGCTATCTGCTAATAGGCTTCTTCCCCAGAGTCCACACAACTGTCATCAGCTTCCATGGACGTCTTTACCTGACAACCTTTGAGAGATTTTTAAACTTTATTTGGCACTCCATTTGGCCTCGTCTCTGATTGCTTTGACTTGGAATTCTTTATTTTGTTTGTTATACCTCACTGAGCTTTAGTGGTGATTCGTCAAAGTGTTGGTTTGGCTCTTCACAGGTTGCATCATCCAATAAACTGTTCAAACTTTCCCTGTCTATTTACCAGTGCAGATCACTAAATGTTATTCTTCCTTTCTATGCAGGTCGTCCGCGTGGCGCAATGATTAGAGCACGAGCACTCTCCACCGGCAAGTGGTGACGTCTCCATATGAGTGAAAAATTCTCGAGAGGGACGTTAAACAACTTTCGATCAATCAATCAACTTCCTTTACACATCTTCCTAAGTAGCTTTCAACATTTCAGGCCCCGGGGATTATGAAGCAGTTTTAGACTCAAGTCAAGATTAATAATTTTGCTTTAAGTTTTATCATAGCAGTGGCAGATCCAGGAATCTTAGAAGGGGAACCCGAACATTTTTGGGGCAGGGTAGGAGCCCACAGCAACACCCAAAAAATTGATTTATTAAATCTTATGTATATTTTGGTCACAAAAGTGGAAGCTTTCCGCTGCAATGACCAGCACTTCTGAGGAGATAGCCAGGATAGATTCTACCGGAGAAAGCGCTTTACTATAAACCGAGGTCCCGTGTCGAAGGAGGACCCACTTTGACAAGGGGCTTCGGTTTACACGGTCTCATCTGAAGGACCGGTCTCCACGTCCCACAAACAAGTGGCATCTCTTTAATATTAGGGGTCCAAAAATTGTGCACATTAAATTAACCTGATAACTTGTTACTACGCCATTATTGTAACAGAAAATCGTTCATATAATGTAACCATAAAAAGGGGAGCTCAATATTTCAGTTCGATTTTTTAAAAGAAGGAATGCCAAGCCAAAATTTTATTTTATAGATCTTTGGGAAATCACTACTATCGGACTTTCATTGATGAAACCAGAACTTGATACTTAGTATCAAGTTCTGGTTTCATCAATGAAAGTCCGATATTAGCTCTTGATTATTTTAAATGATCTGTTTTTGCATTTTTTTTAAGAGAAAATGAACAAAAAAAACTTTTATTTGCATTTTTATAAGATGCTTTGGAGTTAAAAATTTGCTGTTAATGAATGCATCATATATTCACAAATAATGTGTTTTATTTTCATAAATAATTTTTAAAATAAAAATGTTTATCCAACATTTCTTTACACATTTTATTTAGCATTAATAATATTCATTTTTTAACGTAGAACCTACGTCGTATGACATCATATAAGAGCAAATGTTGAACCGTCGTAAAGCATTTTAAGGACATACGCAAGGTTAAGCCCGTGTCACACTGTCACGATTTTTGGCTACGATAGAGTACGAGTTAAAAAATCGCAGTAATTCGGCGTTCATCGTAGAGATAGTCGTAGGATATCTTCTTAACTCGTGTTTCATCGTAGCAAATCGCCAAACGCGGCGATTGTTTTGAGCATGTTCAAAACAATCGTGGCCACGGTACGATTTTTAATTATCCGTAAGCGATCGTACAGAAATCGCAATACACTCGTACACATAATCGTTGTAAATCTTCAACGTTCGTGGGACACTCGTAGAAATTCGTAGAACTTCCGACTCTGCGAGTTTCCTACGATTTATCGCGAGTGTCCCACGAGTTTCTTCGAGTGTTTCTCGACTCAAAAGGAATGTCCTACGATTTCATGCGAATATGATACGAACACATGCGATTGACGGCGAGTGCAATACAAGTACCGTGCGAGTGAACTGCGAAAAAGTGCGATTGTACGTGTTGACTGATTGCTGATTGCTCCTTATTCACGGTATGGATTATTTTAAGTTATGATTGGTGTTTTATGTTATTTTTATTTTCTTTACAAAGTACATTGTACTGTAATGATTATCATTAAAGTTACTGATCTACATGTAAATGTACATGTAATTCAGTTGTTGATTGTCAGGCTTTACACATATGTAATTACGAGTGTTTGCATTTTAAGTTTGTGTTTTATTTCTAATTTGTTCAGAGAATGAGTATTAACATTGTCCAATGCTTCACGTTTATTGATACACAATAAATTTAAAACAATATCCTGATTCATTTATTCATTTACAATATGGTACATTTAAATAAAACGGCCGTCAGCAGAATCATCAGAACACACATACAAATCTTAAAAATCATAATCATTATATCATGTCATTCTGCCAGGGAACCGCCCTAGCAGGTGAGTTGTAATAGTGCTTCAGGTACAGTCTCTGGGTCTTCGCTGCTATAGTTGCTCGATTACATCCACCAACGTTATTCAAGTCTGTAAGGTTTGCACAGTCTCTCCAAGCTCGCGGAACCACGTGATGATTTAAGTCCTGCTGGTCAAGATTTTCGTTTTGGATATTTGGAAATCTCATTCGCATGAAATTATGAAGACAGCAACATGCTAATACAATAGATGAAAAAGTTTCTGGTTCTTGACGCATTGGAGCTAAGAGGCATTGCCATCTGTTGGCAAGTAATCCAAATGCATTTTCTACAACGCGCCTTGCTCTGCTGAGTTACGCTCCTCATTGGTCAATGTCTTTCTTGCGAAAGGTTTCATAAGCCATGTCCTGATAAGGAAGGCGTCATCACCCACGATGAAATTCTGTTATCATTTGGTAGAGGGGCATCTTCTGGAAATCCAATATTATGATTTTCGACGACATCTTTTAATTCTGAGTTGTTAAACACTGTAGCATCTGATGCAGAACCATTTGCACCTACGTCAACCCAGATGAACTTATAATCAGCATCAACAAGCCCCATAAGAATGAGGAGGTGGAACCCTTTGTAGTTGTAATAAAGTGATCCTCCGTTTCGAGGGCATTTTATAGCAATATGTTTCCCATCCAAGGCACCAAGGACATGGTCCAGGTTCCTTCTATTTCTGAACTGCTCAGCTATTTGTTGCCACTCATCTGTAGTTGTTGGTCATTTAATTACTTCATCAGCATATTCCGCTACTATACTTTCAAAACTTCACGAACCAGCTAGGAAATCGTATTATGTGGAACTCGAAATCCGTACATCAGACTTGTGTAAGACTCTCCTGTTGCTAAATGCCGAAGTGTAATGGCCAACTTTAATCCAGGTTTCAAAGCCTATCTGAACCATGTGTCTTGTTTTTGTAATCTAGGACTCAATCTGTCTACAAGCTCTCTAAACATACCTGGCTCTACTCTGAGAAAGTCTGGCTCTACTGTGAGAAAGTTTTTGAATGACAATACATCCTCCGTTTCAAGTTCTTTCATCAAGCGATCGAAATATCCACACTGAGTCCGTCTGGTGATCCATGGTCTTATCCAGTATCTTCTTCTTTGCCTCTGTGGACGCCCGTTATGTAATAAATGGCAATTGCCTCGTCATTTTCTGCAATATTCTGATCAAGTTCCCCCAAATATTGCAGCAGTTGAAGCCTCCGCACGGTAGCTACTGCCATAATTATACAACTTCGAAATTAAGCAACCCTTTCCCTCTATATATATATACTCAAATCAAGTATAGTCGTAAGAACTCGTCACTGTTCGTGGGAATATCGTGTGTGCATCGTACAGACTCGTAGGTATTCGTAAGAGCTTCGTTTAAAATCGTGTCTTATCGTACAAATTCGTGTAAAGATCGTATGGCGTTCGCTATGTGATCGTCCTTGTTCGTACATAACTCGACAAAACTCGTTCTGTTATCGTATAAGCCTCGTACATTGTTGAGCGGACATCGTAGTCGTATCGTGACACACTGAAAAAAAATCATCCTCTGTCAAAAAATGCTAGGCTAGCGTGACGATTGTCGGCGATTTATGGTTTTTTGTAAGTCGTCTGGAATCGTAGCAAAAATCGTGACAGTGTGACACGGCCTTACCTACTGATAATTTTTCAAGATATTCTTAATTTAAGATTATAGTGCCATCAGATGTTCATAGACAAAAAATCAGCATGTATTACCAGGGGTTTTTGGAAGATATTAAATTATGAAAACGTTTGCATTATTCAAAGAAAAATATGCAAAAATTACAATACATAATTTCCAGATTTTTTTCCATCAAAATTGTTTTAGAAGAGGTGTACAGATTCATATATAGAAATTAAAATTATTGCACACAGGTCCTTCATTTAGTGGAATTCTTAAACTTCAGGGAAGAGCCAAATAATTTATAAAGTTCAAACTACGTTGTGTATGACCTTAATTGCAAATAAGACCCATTTTTTTTTTATTTTCTGTGAAAATATGAAAAAAAAATGTATAAAATAATAATTACCTAATATCGGCCTTTCAATGCTGAAATCGTAGTTGAAAAGGAATGTCTTAAAGATCTATCAAATAAAATTCTGTTATGGCATTCAGGACTACTTAAACACTGACGTGTAGTGTTTTTAACTTAATAAGATGATGATTACAAAATTGGGATGATTTATATAGAATTATAAAGAAATATTTTATTTCACAATAATTGATATTATGATCCACTGTTAAGTCGTAAAAAAAATTGGATAAATAACATTCACACAATAAAAGCAAAAGCATGCTGTGTTTCTTGATATATTATTCCGGACTCATTATTTATTACAACTTGGTTTTAAATTGTATGCACTTCCGATCAATAAATGAATGTGTCTGCAAGTTGAGGCAGTAAATATTAGATGGAAACTTACGCAGATGTGATAGCTAACCAGCCCGTTGTAATAGACAATGTAAGCAAAGGGTCATGTATATTCTTTTTCTGAATGAAGCATCACTTACGCCACTTGGGTTACAGGCAAAATGTAAACAATGACTCATTTTGACCGAGTTTCCTCAACACTCCAGATTTTTAAAGGACCTTTTAAAATCTTTTGCCGCTCTTTACACCATTAAAAATAGAAAGTCATACTATCTATAGCTTTATTCCAATCCATATACATGCTTTGTAGCAATATTATGTCTAGTTTCAAAAGTGTGTACCATTAGACCATCATTGTGAATAGTGAAAAATTGGCCAATTACTGAGGAAGTAAGAATGTACTTTCACCAAGTAATAGTTCATTGTTGCATTCCCCCCTTAGTAAGAATAATGAATACACATCAGTTTGATATTTTACACTGGTAGAGTTCTTACTTTGCCTGTGATACATTTGGAATATGATGCCAGTGGGTGTGGCAAGTTCTTTGTATATGGTTTTCATCACTGCAGTCTATCCCAAAAGCACCGGTCCATTGGACATAACATGTGAAAATCTTATTGGTTTGATGCACTAACTAGTAAAAGCGGTCCGTTTGTCTGAGGTTTGTTTTGGTTGGGTTTTAAATTATATATGTCCTATTTCATCATGTAGACACTTTAACTAATACCAAAACACATTATTAAAAATGTTTTGTTGATTAATTGTGATTGTTTTAAAGCCTACTTCCGCCAAGATGTCTCTTAAATATTTCGATTGAACTGTACATTAGTGTACCAGGAAAGAAAAAGAAATATTTCGGTTAATTTTTTTAATGTGTTATCTGTTTATTGATTCATATGCTATGAAGTAAGTCAAGTAACATCGCTATGATCATTATATGATAAAGTTTTGGACCGGTGAAAATTTGTTTGGTCCTGTGAAATTGTGTTAACTGTCTCTCCAAATCCTGTGGTGATTTTTCTTTTTCGCAAAAACTGTCACTGGACAGTAAGTTGGAAAGAGATTTATCGTGGCATATTAACTTATAATGAATTGTGACAAAGAAAAGGGGTAGAACTTTTGTTTTTGCATTTTAAAGAGATTATCTACATCTGTAGTTGCATGTCACAGAATTCTATAGATTGGGCTTTAATCTGCTGAGGAAAGCAAATTTTGTTGTCTTGAGGTGTTAAATGAAGCTGTCTAACTTTGAGTCTCAGACTACTTCCTCTTCCAGTTGGTGCCTGTTTTTGCAGTGCAAATAAAAAATGAGCTTTTATATTGTTTGGTTTTAGTGCTTGGTATTTTCTTTGCTTTTAATATTAACGTTGTTTCTTTGGAAAATTAAGAAGACATTTCGAACTTCTGAATAACTGCAATAAGCTGATAACCAAGTTCTTGGAACACAGTAACATCATTGAATAAGTAATAATAGAGAACATGAAAGCTTTTATCCCATCCCAAGAGAGTTGGTGGGGATATAGTAATAGTCTTGCTTGTGTGGGTGCAGTTGGATTTGTATGTCCTTGCGTCTTGTATGAAATGCTGCCTTGATTTATGGTATGCTCTTTTTATATATGCTGGATTTTCTGCTTTAATTATTTGATTATTTTTTAGGGGTCTGGGGTTATCAAAGCAGGATTTGCAGGAGACCAAGTACCAAAATACCACTTTCCAAACTTGTGAGTTAACTTAAACCATTGATAATAATCTCTAAACATTTCACAATATATTGTGTGTCTACAAAAGACATATAACCAGGCATGTCTTTCAAAAAAAAAAAAAATACTTTCAAATATTTTAAAATCAAAGTTTCAATACTTTTAAAAAGTTTTTTTTTCCCTTGACAGCAGAAAAAAATAAAATTTTTAAAATTAAGATTCTTAGTTCATAAACAGCACATACCCAGGTATCAGTCTCAACTTCTAATGCTTTGTTTTATATTGCAGTGTGGGAAGACCAAAGCATGTGAGGGTAATGGCAGGTGCCCTAGAAGGGGACGTCTTTCTAGGCCCAGAAGCAGAGGTTATTTAATTCAATAAACAATAAATTTAGCTTAAAATTTCTTTAGAGTAGATAAATGTCATGGAAATATCACAGTACTGGTTACAACAATAAATGTAGCATTTTAAAATGGTCTTTAAATGAGAAGGAAATAAAATGTATGATGACTTTTATTGATAGGAACACAGAGGACTTCTGACCATTAGATACCCCATGGAGCATGGTATAGTGAAAGACTGGAATGATATGGAGAGAATTTGGCAGTATATTTATTCCAAAGACCAATTACAAACTTTTTCAGAAGAGGTAGACTTAAGACTATAGTTTGTTTAATTTGCAATGTGACATGATGTTTGGTTTTTATACGCCCGTCTTAAGACGGGACGTAATATGTTATAGGCTTCGTGTCCGTCCGTCTGTCCGTCTGTCTGTTAGCTTTTTCGTTTCCGGCTCATAACTTTAATACTACTAGGCCTAGGATTATCAAACTTTGTCATCTGATGCATCGCTCTGACCTTTATTTAAGAAGTTATAGCCAAATATGGAAAAATCCTTTCCGGCCCATAACTAGAAAACCATAAGACCTACAATCATCAAACTTGGCCAGTTTATGCATCTTAGGTAGAAGGTGTGTCCCGACCTATTTCAAGGTCACTGTGACCTTTAATTTAAGTGAATTTTAAAAAAAAAATGTGTCTTTTTACTATTCATTTACACATCCCAAATAATGTAAGAGTATTGCACTGTTCATAATAAAAAAGTGTTAAATCAAGAAAATACTTATTTTTTTTAAGCATATACTTGACAGCAATCTATAACAAATATAATGTATGTCAGAGAAATCCTGCCTCTCCCATGAGTGTAATTATCAAGCACTGGTCAGGAAGAATTTTGATAACAGAAAATTGCATGTCAAATTAGAGAGAAATTAATGGGTTTTGAGTGCGAGGAGCTAGCATTGGTGTTATCTATATCCCTTGAGTATTGGGCAAATGGGTAAGCCTGTTTGATTAAAAATAGCTCTTGTTGACTAGCTTAAGTTTTAACATGAATTTGATGAAAAGTAATTAAAACTAATTTGATATTGCATAATAGAGTAATCTGATATTATGTAATATTATTATGCCCCCCTTCGAAGAAGGGAGGGCATATTGCTTTGCTGCTGTCTGTCGGTCGGTCTGTCGGTCCGTCGGTCTGTCGGTCCACTTAGTTTCCCCCTTGGACTTAGAAAAATTTCAATTATTTGCAGTTTCCGTTCATTTTCTTCAAAACCATTGCACATACTGAGATGAAATTTAGTATACAGATATATCACATGAATATCTGGGTCAAGTTCTGTTTTGGGTACGATCGCACCATTTTTCACAGAGTTATGCCCCTTGGACTTAGAAAAATTTCAATTATTTGCAGTTTCCGTTCATTTTCTTCAAAACCATTGCACATACTGAGATGAAATTTAGTATACAGATATATCACATGAATATCTGGGTCAAGTTCTGTTTTGGGTACGATCGCACCATTTTTCACAGAGTTATGCCCCTTGGACTTAGAAAAATTTCAATTATTTGCAGTTTCCGTTCATTTTCTTCAAAACCATTGCACATACTGAGATGAAATTTAGTATACAGATTAATCAGATGAATATCTAAATCAAGTTCTGTTTTGGGTATGATCGCACCATTTTTCACAGAGTTATGTCCCTTGGACTTAGAAAAATTTCGATTATTTGCAGTTTCCATTCATTTTCTTCACAACCGTTGCACATACTGAGATGAAATTTAGTATACAGATTAATCAGATGAATATCTAAATCAAGTTTTGTTTTGGGTATGATCGCACCATTTTTCACAGAGTTATGCCCCTTGGACTTAGAAAAATTTCAATTATTTGCAGTTTCCGTTCATTTTCTTCACAACTGTTGCACATACTGAGATGAAATTTAGTATACAGATTAATCAGATGAATATCTAAATCAAGTTCTGTTTTGGGTACGATCGCACCACTTTTCACAGAGTTATGTCCCTTGGACTTAGAACAATTTCAATTATTTGCAGTTTCAGTTCATTTTCTTCACAACTGTTCAAATACTGAGATGAAATTTAGTATACAGATTTATCAGATGAATATCTAGGTCAAATTTTGTTCTATGTACTATCGTGCCATTTTTGACAGAGTTTTGCCACTTGGGCTTGGAAAAATTCCAATTTGGGGGGAGGGGGGCATAAGTGTTTTACAAACATCTCTTGTTAATTTAAAAACTAATTTTTTGGGGTGGGGTGGAATCAGCATGTCCATATGAATTACATATTAAAACCTGTCTGACATTAAATCTCAACCAAAAAAAAAATCTTTGAGTATTTTATTAAATTTATAGTAGATAGTGCAGACCCATTCATCTCTTGGTAGTAATGAGTAGACAAGCATCCAGTTAAAGATTAGTTAATGAGTTCAATGTAGGAAGGCTAGCTGTCTCAGTCGCTCTGATTAAGCAGTGACCTTATCTGTACCCTTTGGGGATTAGACAGAAGAACTGCTGGTCAGTTTATAACATATGTCATTTGATGGCCAGCCTTTTCTTTTCAAAATTAATTTGGTATAGATTAAGTTGTTAAGACTAATTTGATGATGGGCATTTGACAAGGTCTAACACAACCAGCACAGAAATCTATCAGTGATGTAATATTTATTATAATTGATGCCTACGTCACAGGGGATGGATAAATATTTTAAGGAATGGAAAAATCATCGAAATCTTAGAATCAAGGTTGATGTGATTTTCTTGCACCTAAACTGTTCAAGAAAATTGTAATTTTTGACGGGCGTATCATGCTGTGGCGCGGCACTTTATTCAATATAAAGTGTACCTGTGGACTAAATATCAAAGTTGTATCATTCTCGTGTAAATTACATATTTATTTTACAGTGTATTATCATGTAAATCAGTTAAAATTCATGCATCTTTGAATGATTAAAATTAAATTTAAAATCCATTGTTTCTTTTTCCAGCATCCTGTGCTGTTAACAGAGGCACCACTTAACCCAAGAAAAAATAGAGAAAAAGCAGCAGAAATATTTTTCGAGACTTTTAATGTGCCAGCTCTGTACATTTCCATGCAGGCAGTGCTTAGTTTGTAAGTCATTTTAGTTGATGCTTAACTTTGCAGATATCTGTTAAAGAGTAACAAGCAAACACCTAAATACAAAAAAAAATTCTCAGTACATGTATTATTTCTTTGTCCATTTGTTATAATAAATAACTGATTTTGAAATTTCCTTTAGATATGCCACAGGAAAAACAACAGGCGTAGTATTAGATTCTGGAGATGGGGTAACGCATGCTGTCCCGATCTACGAGGGCTTTGCGATGCCACACAGCATAATGAGGTCGGATGTCGCTGGCAGGGATGTCACACGATATCTTAGACTGCTTCTTAGGAAAGAAGGATACAATTTCCATACATCTGCTGAACTTGAAATTGTTAGAACCATCAAAGAGGTTTGGAAATTAACACTTTAATCTATGGAGAAATCTTCCTAAAATTTTGTAATTTTTTTTAGAAACTCCATTTTCCTTTGTTTTGAGTTGACAAATGCTGAAGGTTGTTTTTCAGTTTTTGTCAGTTATATGATTCATGTACATGTATTGTTATATTTCAATGTTTGTTTCTTTTAATGTTAAGCAGGAAAAAGATAAAAAAAAAATTTGATGACAAATTGACTGGGTTTTTTTTTTCAGAGAGCCTGCTATTTGTCAGATAATCCCCTTAAGGAAGAGACAGTAGAGGGAGAAAAGTCACAGTATACGTTACCTGATGGAAGTGTTATTGAGGTCAGTCAAAAAAAAATATAGGCATATGTACTGTGTAGATATAAGTAAATTTGAATTCAAATGCTGTGTAATTAAACATTGAATACAAACATTTCTTTTTTTATAATTGAATGATTGTTGCCCACCTGCTTAAAGCTGAACACAATTTGAAAAGGAATTTGTTCGCCATATTCAATTGGTTTCTCACTATATCTGAGGTCCCTTACATAAAGCCACTGACTTGGTCACTGTTCAGTGTAATCAGTCATCACCAGCATAGACAGATGTTTACATGCTATACAGTACTCAAGAGCTACAAGAAATAGCTGCACTTCTTCTAAAGCAGTAGAGTAAGATATAAAAGAAACTTAATTACAACAGTTGCACAGGTCAGGGCAGTATACAAACAAACACAAATACACGTAACTGCATTTATGTAAACAAAGATAGTGCAAGATAACCAGCAAGAACAAGTGTCACCAATCCACGCCAATACCCGTGACAATAAAGCAGTCAGTTGTAATATGCCTATTTACACGAGTCATGTTCAGCATTAAGGTATGGCATATGTTTACGAGTAAATGATAGGTTTTCATGTACAAACTTTTAGAAAGAACACAACAGTACCTGTTAGTTACTGTTGATTACTCAGGAATACAAAACAAACTTTATGTAACATATAATTTACATGATGTACATATTTACTGTAGATTGGTCCTGCTAAGTTCAGAGCACCAGAAGTCCTGTTTCGACCAGACTTAATCGGAGAAGAGTTTGAAGGGATACATGAAGTGCTTGCTTACTCCATTAGAAAGTCAGACATGGATCTCCGGCGAATGCTCTTCTCCAACGTAGTCCTGTCAGGAGGATCAACACTTTTCAAAAGTAGGAACAGTTCTATCAATTTGACTATGATGTTTAATTTGTTTAATTGAATTAATTAAATTGAAAGAAACATTTGATATACACTGGATTTAAAAAAGGAAATGGCAATGTTTAGAATTGTTGTGTAATGTTACCGTATAACGGGTAATTTTTACAGCCGTAAATTTTTACGAATTTCTGTTGAAATAGGGTAATTTTATTATTTACGCCTTAAATTTTTATGAATTGAGCATGTCGGTAAAAAATTAAAATCATCAGAGGTGAAGTTTCAGCAATGTTTTGGCATTTTGAGTGCGTTAACATACATATACACGTGTTTTAAATGTCTGGACAACCCGATTTAAAATCAAAACGAAATTGTTCATGTGATAAGGAGTGTCGATTCCTTAAGTGATACGTTTATTCATTTAAATACCTTTATATATATATATCACATGCCCTGAATTTATTCCTTTGTCAATTAATACACATGTTTACGCATCATTATTGTTGCGCACCACATGCCCGTCTTCATTTTAATGAAAACAAAGAGAGACAACTCAAGCCATCATGATTAAGTTGACAGAATTACAGGGGACACGCGGATTATGATGCCATAAAATGTCGAAGTTTTTACTGGAAGGAAATAAAAAGAAGAAAGGGTCAAAGTCCTGAAAAACGGATATAATTTGAAGACTTCAATCTGTAATAATTAAGCCATTATCAGAAATTATGCGTCCTGTAAGAGTAACCAGGTAATTGACGATGTTTGTATATTTTGTGCATTAATTAAGATTTACTTGTTTGATCCTAATCGATAATCAATTAAAAAATTCCCAAAAATACCAACGAGTGTCAGTACTAATTCTATAGCCTCCGGGTATTTAGCTAAATGGCAATGATAGCATTGAAATACTCTCATAATACGATGTTCAAAATTTAGGCGAGACATTTTTTACTTCTGTGAAATTTTACTCGTTTAAATTTTACGAATTTTTGAAACTTGTAAAAATTAGCAGCACGTAAAAAATACCCGTTATACGGTATTTTCTTAGAAATACAGGTAGTTATCAAGAACCATACAGGTAGTTATCAGGAACCATACAGGTAGTTATCAAGAACCATACAGGTAGTTATCAGGAACCATACAGGTAGTTATCAGGAACCATACAGGTAGTTATCAGGAACCATACAGGTAGTTATCAAGAACCATACAGGTAGTTATCAGGAACCATACAGGTAGTTATCAGGAACCATACAGGTAGTTATCAGGAACCATTTACTTTTAAAAATTGGTAAACTTATATTCTATTTTACAGGATTTGGTGATAGACTTTTAAGTGAATTAAAGAAACTAGCCCCAAAAGATATAAAAATTAGGGTAAGTTCGAAGTTCAGTTGCTTTACTCTTATTTACTTGTACTTTAATTCTTAATTATGGTTGACAGGAAGGTTGCTTATGACCCAAGTTATTCTTTAACATTGAGCCAAGAACATTTTGGCAAATTCAAGGAAACTTGAAAAAAAAATTGCAGGGAATATGTATGGGAGACTCATACATACTGTAAATCACTATATTTTCATGACATCTTATTTTTGCTAGAATTCTTTTTTTGTATTAGCAAGAATTAAATGTTTGCAATTAAATGTTCGCAAGTAGACATACTCGCATAATTACACGAAAATAAAGTTCTTATGTATAAAAGGTGATTTACAGTAAGACAAAGGCCGCATAAGACCTGATGGTGTATCTTGATCTTAACTCTAGTTATTTTGCCAAGTTCATGATTTCATGCAGTACTTCAAAAATGTGCTTTATTTGTTTCCTGGCAACATACAACATAATATCAGAGAAACAATGGGATTGAATATTCACTTGCAGAAAAATTTAAACTTTGTTGCTTTAGCACAATTTTTAGCTCACCTGAGCCGAAGGCTCAAGTGAGCTTTTCTGATCACATTTTGTCCGTTGTCTATCCGTCTGTTTGTCTGTAAACTTTTCACATTTTCGACTTTTCTTCTCAAGAACCACAGGGCCAATTTTGACCAAACTTGGTACAAAGCATCCTTGGGTGAAGGGGAATTTAAATTGTTAAAATGAAAGGCCAAGTCCTCTCACAAGGGGAGATAATCAAGGAAAGACAAAATTAGGGTGGGGTCATTAAAAAATCTTCTTCTCAAGATCCAGTGGGCCAAGAAAGCTGAAACTTACGTGGAAGCATCATGGGGTAGTGTAGATTTTAAATTGTTAAAATCATGACCCCCGGGGATAGGGCGGGTCCACAATAGGGAATCCATTTTTTACATAGAAATATATAGGAAAAATCTTTTAAAATCTTTTTCTCAAGAACCAGTGGGCCAGAATAACTGAAACTTATGTGGAAGCATCCTGGGGTAGTGTAGATTCTAAATTGTTAAAATTATGACCCCCGGGGGTAGGGCGGGGCCACAATAGGGAATCCAAGTTTTACATAGAAATGTATAGGAAAAATCTTTAAAAATCTTCTTCTCAAGAACCAGTGGACCAGAATAACTGAAACTTATGTGGAAGCATCCTGGGGTAGTGTAGATTCTAAATTGTTTAAATCATGACCCCCGGGGGTAGGGCCGGGCCACAATAGGGAATCCAAGTTTTACATAGAAATATATAGGAAAAACCTTCTTCTCAAGAACCAGTTGGCCAGGAAAGCTGAAACATAGGTGAAATCATCCTGGGGTGGTGTAGATTCTAAATTGTTAAAATCAAGTTGGGGGTGGTGGTGGGGAGGGGTAGGGGGCCACAATAGATATAAGAAGAGGGGAAATCTGGTAAAGAACTGCATCACCAAAGTTACTCAGGTGAGCGATGTGGCCCATTGGCCCCTTGTTTAAACTCTAGTTTGTGTTTTAAACCTAATTAAAAGCTACAGGTATTTGTTAGAAGTTAACAAGGATATGGTTGAGGATATAAACAATTTGAGCTGAACACTATGATTGAAATGAAAATTGAGCCATTGATTTATTTTACATATTTTATTGCAAATCTGTCTTGCATTTTAGATATCTGCTCCTCAAGAAAGGTTATACTCAACTTGGATAGGGTAAGTACCATAGATTTCTTTTTATAGATTTGGTTAAAATTTAAGAAAGTCACACAATTCCAATGGATCCATCAGTTTGTGAGAAAATGCATCGTAAAAATCTTAAAAATATTAATGACAAGAACATGCAGGGGCTTGATGGGAAAAAATCATTGCCAGTTACGTAGCATCATTTCGTTATTTAAAAAAAAAAAAGCACCACTGAATGCAACAGCCTTTTACTTTTTTTTGCAGTGGTTCCATTTTAGCTTCCCTGGACACTTTCAAGAAAATGTGGGTGTCGAAACGTGAATATAATGAAGAAGGATTGAAGGCCATTCACAGAAAGACATTCTAACCATGTACAAAGCTAGAAACCATCTATTTATGATCAACCTACAAGCATGTGACAGTTGATGCAGGGAAGGGGTGTGGGAAAAAGAACAAATGCTTTTTTTTTGTACATTATAAGTGGTATAAGTATGGTGTATACATTTAATTTGCAGCAACTGTATTTATTGTCTATGGTTGATTTAATAGTCATTTTTTATTATTAGTGCTGATATTAAAAGCAGTCTTGCCCCGACTTATTGAAAGTGAGGTGCATTCCAATAAATGGTCAGGTGGTCTTCCACTTTTCATAAAGGAGTTTTTGTACCCTTTAGTTTGACTGTTGGGACTTTCAAGGTTATGGGAGAAATTGTGGTTTGAACCAGCCTCTTTTGAACATGTCCACTGGAAAACACTTCATGTTATAAAGTTTAGAGATGATAAAGCTTTTGTGTTCAGCTTTGATATTGCCTCTACATTTTGCAATTGATGTTTTCTACATATCTGTCTTTAAAGGCCACCATTTCATTACTAACAATTTTTTTTCAGAACTGTTCTTTATCCAAGAATCAGTTTCAAGAAATATTTAAATCTATTCAAAAGTTGGATTTTTTCTTTTACATACATGTACTTTTGAGAATTTATTTATTTGTTAAATTATTTAAAAAATTGAAATCAAATGACCATATTGCAGAAGAGCACATTAATATAAAATAAATTGTTTACTCTCCTTTATGTTGGCACGAATGTTGAAGAGAAAAACTGGCACTATTTTTTTGGATGATCACAGGGAAGGCTTCGAGGTCACAAGGTTGTAAAGTGACTCTCCACACACACAAAGTGCAATAATACATATACAGGACTTGTCTATTATGGATTGTAGTCAGGTTTTTTAAACACCTTTTTTTGTTATAAATCATGTGCAAACAAACCTTGTAACTGTCCAATTTTGGTTGTTAAGTCATACATGTACCAATTCATGAATGGTTAACAATTGTATTTTCGTACAAATTGTTTTAAGTTATTGTAAAATCATATTTTTTTTTGTTTAGCACAAAATGTTGAAAAAAAAAGATATAATAAATTCATTGAGCTTATGCATAAAACTGTTGAGAAGAGAGATATAACAATTTTGGTTAAGTTTATTATACATATGCTTTTTACATTCATTTGTATTTTTGGTACAGTGCTTGTAAACAACTAGAAAATATTATGTAAATAACAGAAGACAACAAATCAAATAAACTATTTGAAATTACCCGGGTGTAATTCAGATTTTAGTTTCCTTAATGAATTCAAATTTGAAATGAATTTACAGTATGTACATGTACAGAATACCATAATTCGTGAAGTACATTAAATTTTTTTAATTTCAGAATATTTCCATATTTAGCTATTATTGCCACATTTAAATAAAAGGACATCTGTAAGCTTTCCAGCAATATCACTGCAACATATGTTCGGAAAGAGATGCTTTTTTCTACCCAAAATGCAAGTTTTTGAAGCTGAGTAATTCAAATTACTTTTTTCTATGGACATTAATGCTTACATATGTAATTACATGTACTTAAAAATCCCCAAAGCTGCAAGACAGCATGTACATAAATATGTTTGAGATTACTTGCTACCACTTGCTCAAAACATCAACATGATATACAGAGGTCTGCTAAACAAAATGAATATACAATGCAAGGTGAAGTGCTTATCAGAATTCCTTATTCCTCTAACAAAATATGTGCTAGTGTTTTGAACATTCACTCTGTTCAACAGCATCAGGTATGTTTATTTGATACATCACCAAAGTCAACATCAATACGCTCAACATAAAGAACAACCATTGAGCTCTAAACTGGAATATATGACACATTAGGTTTTGTAAACCTTCAATAAATATATATACTGGTAATTATGTACATCAAATACAAGCTTCAGAATAGTTACACTGAATCAAATACAAGCTTCAGAATAGTTACATTGAGCAATTAGTTTTTCTCCAATTTGACTCCATGATTTCATAAATGCAAAAATAAAAAAGTTGTTTTTGTGAAACACTGATGCCCTGAATGGCAGTTTATGCCTAGGGTTGAACTTTCTCAAATGCAGCTCAAGGTCAAAAGCACTACTGAATTAAATATCCCCTTAGATTCCAAAAAATCCCCTGTTGTCCCCCTGTCAGTCCCTGACATTTTCCTGTCTCTCCCTGACTTTCTCCTATGATCCCCTGTCGTTGTCCCTGCTCTCCCTGTCCAGTCCCTGTCGTCCCCTGTCGTTGTCCCTGCCCTCCCTGTCTACTCCCTGTCGTCCCCTGACATTCTCTGATCTCCCTGTCCAGTCCCTGTCGTCCCCTGTCGTTGTCCCTGCCTTCCCTGTCTACTCCCTGTCGTCCCCTGACATTTATTTTGGCCAAGAAAAGGAGTTTAAAAAATATTTTTGTTGCATTTAAGAGTGAAAAATAATATAGTCTTGAAAACTTTAAGTTTTTTTTTTTTTTTTGAAAATATAGACTTAGTAAAAAGTTAACACATTTTTAAATGCCTTAACAAAATCCCCTGTAATTTAGTTTCTATTACTTGTATCAATGTGATTATTTTAGTGTGGTAGCATTTCGGGGGAGAAGGACAGAGAATTGCATCATTATAAAGAAGCAATAAATTAGCAATTTATTTCATCTTGTGATGCTAGACGGCTTATACATTGTACTTTATGGACCTTTTATATATATTTATAACTTTTTCATTTTTTATTTGATCTACTTTGAAACATCTTTGAGCGTAATAACTGTCTTTGTAAAAGAACTAGATTTAAACATTTGAGAATACATTATCAAATCCATGCATGGGATATTTTTGTTTTACCAAAGAATTAAAAAATTAATTGAAAGGAATGATATATGAATGTATTAATAAAATAAAAGTCTATTTAATAAATAAAAATTATTAAATAAACTAAAGATATATTTTATTCATTTATTTTCTTATGTGAATAAATCTACAACTCGACTGAATTAAGAATGAATGAATAAATAGATAAATAAATAAATAAATAATGAGAATTATATAAATTTATTCATTTATTTTTTATTTTTTTAATTTATCGCTCATTTATATCCCCCAAAATTTGATTTATTAGTTTTATTTTATTTATTTGCTAAAATATGCTATAAAGTATTTTATTAGCATATTTAAACGACTTTTTATTACTTAAAGTCCATGATGGATATCAAAATAATCGTCTCATTATGCACAATATTAATCCGTCAATTAGATTTTTGATACTTTGTTTTGATTAAAAAATCGGTTTTCAAAACCCTAACACGGTTCTGAAACAACATCAAAGCCACTGATGTTTACCAGTAATTAACTCGGGGTACACAGCCATGACACCTATTTTTTTTTTCACTGACCGCTATACCTTGTTTATATTGTGACAGGACAACCGTGTGTAGTTTGCAGTGGTTTGAAATAACATTTTCTCTTTGTATGAGAACTCATTTTTTTTCAATCAAAACAAAATAAAAGTATCAAATAAGCTATTGACGGGTAAAGATTGTGCATAATGAGACGATTATTTTGATATCCATCATGGAAGTAAAATAATTAAAAGCAGATTTAATATGCTTCAAGAATACTTTGAAACACATTTTTGCGTAAATAGTTTTACATAAAATAAGCCAAACAAAATTCCATTTTCGGGTATTTGATTATTTAATTTGTTTGTATTTTCAATTTTAAAAATAAAAAAAGATTGTTTTTATCATAATTAAATACATGCAGTTAATAAGTTTATTTATTTTCTTTTTGTTTACTAACTATTCAAAATCAATTATTGTATTGATTTTAAAAAATTAATTATTCTAAAATGCACCAATACCCCCTGCTGTCTCTCTCTTTTTTCTTTCTTTTTTTTTCTTTTTTTTATTATATTATTTCTTTTTTTTTTTTTTTTTTTGAACAAATGGTACAAAGTCAAACCAGTACTTAACGAATAAAACAGATTACAGCGAAATAAATTCATAGTAAATAAATAAAGTAAAGTAAATGAATAATAAAAAAAAATATTAATAAAATATTAATCTATTTATTTTTGAAATTGAAAATACAACAAATTAATGAATCATTTTTATCTGCAAGAAATTGTGTTTCTTTAGTTTTATTTTATATAAACACTTGCATCCGTAGATGTTCTACAAAGTATTTTATTAGCGTATTAAAACGACTTTTTATCATTTTAAATACATGATAGATATCAAAATAATCGTCTCATTATGCACAATATTAATCCGTCAATTAGATTTTTGATACTTTGTTTTGATTAAAAAATCGGTTTTCAAAACCCTAACACATTTCTAAACAACATCAAAGCCATTGATGTTTACCAGTAATTAACTCGGGGTACACAGCCATGACACCTATTATCTTTTTCACTGACCGTTATACCTTGTTTATATTGTGGCAGGACGACCGTGTGTAGTTTGCAGCGGTTTGAAATAACATTTTCTCTTTGTATGAAAACTCAATTTTTTTTTCAATCAAAACAAAATAAAAGTATCAAAGAAGATATTGACGTGTAAAGATTGTGCATAATGAGACGATTATTTTGATATCCATCATGGAAGTAAAATAATTAAAAGCAGATTTAATATGCTTCAAAAATACTTTGACACATATTTTTGCGTAAATAGTTTTACATAAAATAAGCCAAAAAAATTCCATTTTCGGGTATTTGATTATTTAGTTTGCTTGTATCGTCAATTTTAAAGATAAAAACATTGTTTTTATCATGATTAAGTACATGCAGTTAATAAGTTTTTTTTTTTATTTACTAAGTATTTAAAATCAATTAATGATTTGGTTTTAAACACTAAAACATTCCAAGATGCACCAATACCCCCTGCTGACTTTGTTTCTTACAAATGGTACAAAGTCAAACCAGTATTTAATGAATAAAGCAGATTACAGCGAAATAAATACATAGTAAATAAATAAAAAAAAATAAAAAAAAAATAATAAAATAAATATAAATAAAAACAATTTATTTATTTATATTTGAAATTAAAAAAAAAAAACAAATTAGTCAATTATTTATATCCGCAAGAAATTGTATTTCTGTAGAGTTTTATTTTATTCATGTTTTATTCATTTAACAATGGAGTGACTTTCTACCTTTTGTAAAAATAAAAAAAAAGAAAAGAAAAAAAAAAGTAGGGGCACTGCGCACTTTGGAATATTTTAGTTTTTTTTTTTAAATCAATACAATAATTGATTAGTAAAAAAAAATAAACTTATTAACTGCATGTATTTAATCATTATAAAAACAATGTTTTTATTTTTTAAATTGACGATACAAGCAAACTAAATAATCATATACCCGAAAATGGGATTTGTTTCGCATATTCTATGTAAACTGATTAACAATGAATATGTATCAAAGTATTTTTGAAGCATATTTAAACTACTTTTAATTATTTTTCTTCCATGATGGATATCAAAATAAACGTCTCATTATGCACAATCTTTACCCCTCAATAGTTTTTTTTGATACTTTTATTTTGTTTTGATTGAAAAAATCAGTTCTCATACAAAGAGAAAATGTTATTTCAAACAGCTGCAAACTATACACGGTCGTCCTGTCACAACATAAACAAGGTATAGCGGTCAGTGAAAAAGATAATAGGTGTCATTACCGTGAACCCCGAGTTAAGGACGCTCTAAACACTGCACTGCCTAAAGAGTCTTCCGGTAGCTTCGGTATTTTTTGGAGCTTGGAGTGATCCGCCCTTCGTATTTATTCGGGAAAAAAAATTCCGTCAATACTCTAAAAATATAAAATGAATTACTCCCCTTTCCGCTCTCTAGGATAAAAAGGTAGGAAAAGAGTGGCAACATGACAGACAGCATGTCCACTAATTTGACATGTTTGAGAAAACGCTATAAAAGCGGAAGATTTCGCCCCAAAATAAAGTCTGCTCCAATTCCTACATCTGAAGCAATTGAAAGAAAAACATTAGAGGACTCCAGGTAACTGCACGATAGTCATTTTAATTCTAAAAACGGCTTTCGGAAACTTGAGAAAAAAAACATCATGTCTTTAGAAGTAATAGAATATTTTGTTCAATGTTGTAATTATATTTATCGAAATTTTGTTAAGGATGGATCATGATTATTCAAAACCCCCAAATCATGGTAAAAATATTATGAGTACCAGCATTGACGAGGGTTGGTCGGAATATGATGAAGAGGACGAGGATGAATTAGATACATCCGATGAAGATTACAGAGGCAACGATAGAAACGACGATCCGCCCGACGAAACTAATGAGGAAGACACTTTGCACCCAGATGTTTCAAAGAATTTACTTGACTGGCATGAGGTATTTCTAAATGAAAACCTTACATATTAGTTCTTTAGACAATAACTGTGTTACTACTCTTTTGCAGGACAAATTAATCAAGTTAATAACGTATGGAAAAGTTTTTGTTGATAGATATTAAATTATGTATATTTAACAATTGCTTCTAGGTCACATTTCACTAAAGAAATTTCCTGCAAAAGAATAGTACAACAGTTATTTTGAAAGGGTCTCTGTTACTTTTTTCAAGGCTTTCTGCAAGCTACAAGTTTAACACAGAATGTGCACAAAACATGTAGAATGCAAAAATGAACTTTAGTTTTCATCAATTCCATTTTCTTTTACGTATTGATATTTTTTATATCAATTTTACTTTGAAACAAATACATGTATCATACAAAGGGTCGTCGAGTGGTTGAGCTTGGTGTGCTAGCAGCACAGCTACAGAAAGGATGCAAGAAATGTGGGACTGTATTACATCTGTGTGATTGTTTTCAAGAGAGGCATTATGGCCTTGGAAGTATTTTGTACATAAAGGTAAATGTCAAATACATCATCATCAACATAAACAATTATAATAAAAGAACCTAATTTTGTAAGTAATCGCCATGACTCATATGAAATATTTCATTAATTTTGTAGTGTACTATATGCAGTTTTATTTCAAACATCCCCACTGGAAAGCGGCATGAAAAAAACATTTGGGATGTGAACACTAAGCTTGGTGCAGGTAATTTCAGAAAAATTTGCAATATGATTTAATAATGCAGCATATTTGATAGTGAATAATATTTTATTTTCAATTCATTCTGTGTCTTGTAGGTATTACCAGCAGTGGAATAGGGTTTTCTAATTTACAAATGTTATTTGCATCATTGAATATCCCTGGTGTAGCGGCTGGAACAGTCAAGAAAAGAGACAGAGAAGCAGGAAAGGCTATTGAATCTGTTGCCAAAAAAAGTTGCACTGAGGCTCTTGATGAAGAAATAAAAATGAATGATGGGTAAATTTTATGGAATTAAATTTTATGAAAAAAATATACCAAGCATCATGATCTCAACATCCTTTTGTCTTTCTTATTTCTCCTATGACAGTGTAGTTTTTTATATACATGTATATATTTTTTAGGAAAGTTGAAATAAGAGTTGCGGCTGATGCTGGATGGCAAACAAGATCTAGTGGAAGGAAATATAACAGCTATTCAGGTATGCAGTGCACTCAAGAAGAAACTTTGAGAAAAAAAAATATTTTTGTAAATAAAACTTATTTATGAGGTGATTATGAATATATCTCTTTTTATTTTTTTTTAACCACAGGTCACAGTTCACTTATAGGTGATAAATCTGGGAAAATAGTGCGGTATGATTATAGATGCAGAAAATGCAGACTTTGTGAAAATGCAAAAAGAAAAGGCATTCAGCCCATTGACCATGACTGCAGGTAAGAAGTTGATAAGTATCAAATGTATAATAATATATAAAAATGAATATGTAAAGTAAAAAAAAAATCAATATTTATTGAAGGTCACTGCAAATTAATACAGTGTCTATATTTATTTTTTTTTTACATGCTTATTTTTATATTTTAATTTCCAGGAAGAATTGGGATGGCTCGGCCAAAGCTATGGAGCCTGACATGATAGTGGGGATGTTGAAAGACTTAGAAAAAGATCATATCCATCCACATGAATTAGTAATGGATGATGACAGTACGACAATCTCACGTGCAAGAAAAGAGTGTGAGCAAAGTATTACAAAATTCAGTGACAGAAATCACCTGAAGAAAACATTTTCAAACAAACTGTATGATTTGCAAAGATTCAAAAAGTATCGACAACTTAGAGGAAAAACTATGACACATCTAAAGAAATGCTTTTCTTATGTTCTTGCCCAGAACCAGAAGAAACCTGAAGAGTTGAAAAAATCCTTGTTGTGTATTATTCCTCATATGTATGGAGACCATCTGGCATGCCCTTCATGGTGTAAATATAAGCGGAATCCAGCAAGTTACCTTCCACAGAATCTTCCATACAGCAGGTATCTAACATGTCCAGAGTTGAAAAAGGACTTGGAAGCCATTATTCAGACGTATGCACAGCAAGCTGATAAACTATCTGATCTTGGATCAACACAAGCATGCGAAAGTTTTAATCACATCGTTGCATCAAAAAATCCAAAGAGCCTCTTTCTGTCAGGATCAGAAAGTACAAGTTTCAGAATCGCTGCAGCTGTTGCACAGAAAAACATTGGAAAGTCTTATATACAAGAAGTAAGTATATTTGATAATCAAAAAAATTATGCATTATAAAATAATCATATACATGTATTCTCATTTCATGTGAAGGAGTAATGATTATGTTTACATGTATATTTACAGGTCAATGATGAACTGAATATGTCTCCTGGAGCCTATACAGAAAAGGCGGTTGAAAAGATGGACAGAAAAAGAAAGTTACAGAAGATAAGACAGAGTAGTGCAGAGTACAAGAAAAGGAGATGCCAAATTAGGAAATCCTCAAGTCAAGATCAGGGTTGTAAAGAAGTGCGTGAAGGAAAAACATATGAAACGTCGGTTGGACTAGAGAAAATGGATGAGGAGCAGGACATCAATTCCATTCCAAGTGCCACTGTTGAACCAGAGAGAATACCACTAAGAAATACTGATAGCACATTTGTTTACTTTGACCTAGAAACAACAGGTTTAGGTAAAGTTTTATATATAGATATATATACACATGTATTTCCATGAGACATTGATATATAGATATATACATTTTTTTTCTAGAGATACATTGTCTCAGATTTGTCTTACAGGTTCATCAGCAGAAATATTGGAAATAGGAGCTGCAAGAGGACAGGATATATTTCAAAAATACATAAAACCCAATGGTACAATATCTGCAAATGCAACTTGTGTGACTGGTCTCCATATGAAAAACCATGAACTTTACTACAGGGATCAAAAACTTGCAACAACAGACTTGAAATCAGCACTCCAAAAGTTTTCAGAGTGGTTATCGGACTCGAATTCTAACATTCTTGTAAGCCACAATGGATTACGGTTTGACTTTCCTTTATTTATTCAAAACATTACGTCACAAAATATTGTGATGAATACATGCATTGCCGGCTTTATCGACACTTTGGAGGTTTTTTAAAAATTCTGATTTAAAGACACAAACTGGCAGTTTTTCTCAGGAGTCTCTTATGAGAGATGCAGGAATCCAGTCAACAGGGGTTTCTCATTGTGCTCTAACTGATGCTATGGACCTACAAAATTTAGTGAACTTTCATAACATTCCTTTCAACACTCTGTTGAGTCAAAGTGTCATGTACAATTATGTTTTACAGCATCTAAAGTTTTCTTCAGTAAAGAATGACAATTTGAAATCTCTTGACGTCTTAGTCCATGGAAAAGTGATAACAGAATTTATGGCAAATAAAATTGCAAAATCTGGTTTGAATTTGAATTATATTAAACTAGCACACACAAGAAATGGTGAAGATGGAGTAAAAAACTTGTTTCAAGAAATTGTAAATGGTAAAGCAAGAGTTACAAAGTGTAAGAAAATAATCAACTCGGTGTCCAATTATTTGTCAAGTCAGTTGTAAAGAGTTACTTCCCTTTGTTTTTATAATTGTAAAGTTATATGTTATTTTATTTTTTATCTCTCTTATAAACCTGGCTCCACCATGTAAGATATGAATTTTTGTGCACCAAATAGCAAAACCTTTATTTAGATTTGTAGAAAAATTCAAAAATTCCATATATACAAAAAATATCTGTGATTATCCTTACATTTTTTGTAATCTTTTGTAAAAAATGTCAAAATATTTCTGAACTGTTGGGGTCATTCTATGTATTTAATTTTTTTTGTATGTTGGTTTATGTAACAATGATATAAGACTTCAAGAAATTTTGGAGAAAATTATTTGTGTAAAAAATAAAAAAAATTTCACTTTCCTACATATTCCCTTATTTCTATCATTTTTATTTTATTAAAAATGGTGGCATCCATGTATGAAAATATTTTTAAAAAATCATTTATGAACTCAGTTATAAAATATATTTCTATTAAGTCCTAAATTGTCCTGATTGTCAGTGTTTAGAGCTCCCTTAATTACTTGTAAACATCAATGGCTTTGATGTTGTTTCAGAACCGTGTTAGGGTTTTGAAAACTGATATTTTCAATCTAATCAATGTATCAAAAATCAAATTGACAGATTAATATTGTGCATAATAAGCTGATTATTTTGATATCCATCATGTACTGAAAATAATAAAATGTCGTTTTAATACGCTAATAAAATACTTTGTAGCACATCTACGGATGCAATTGTTTATATAATTTTAAAGTAAAACTAAAGAAACACAATTTCTTGCAGATTGAATGATTCATTAATTTGTACCATTTTCAATTTCAAAAATAAAGAAATAGATTGATATTTAATTAATATTTTTTTTATTTTTCATGTATTTTATTTTTTTTAATTTACTATGAATTTATTTCGCTGCAATCTGTTTTATTCGTTAAATACTTGTTTGACTTTTTAAAAGAAAAAAAAAGAGAGAGACAGCAGGGGGTATTGGTGCATTTTAGGATAATTAAGTTTTTAAAATAAATACAATAATCGATTTTAAATAGTTAGTAAATAAAAAAAAAAAACCAAAATAAATAAATAAACTTATTAACTGCATGTATTTATTTATTATAAAAACAATCTTTTTTATTTTTAAAATTGACAAGACAAACAAATTAAATAACAAACAACCGAAATGGGATTTTTTGGGGGGGCTAATTTTATATAAAACTATTTACGCAAAAATATGTGTCAAAGTATTTTTGAAGCATATTAAATCTGCTTTTAATTATTTTACTTCCATGATGGATATCAAAATAATCGTCTCATTATGCACAATCCTTAGCCGTCAATAGCTTCTTTGATACTTTTATTTTGTTTTGATTGAAAAAAAAATTAAGTTCTCATACAAAGAGAAAATGTTATTTCAAACAGTTGCAAACTGTACACGGTCACTCTGAACACAACATAAACAAGGTATAGCGGTCAGCGAGAAAGACAATAGGTGTCATGACTGTGTACCCCGAGTTAATTACTGGTAAACAATAATGGCTTTGATGTTGTTTCAGAACCGTGTTAGGGTTTTGAAAACCGATTTTTTCAATCTAAACAAAGTATCAAAAATCAAATTGACAGATTAATATTGTGCATAATGAGACGATTATTTTGATATCCATCATGTATTTAAAATAATAAAAAGTGGCTTTACTACGCTTATAAAATACTTTGTAGAACATCTACGGATGCAAGTGTTTATATAAAATAAAACTAAAGAAACACAATTTCTCGCAGATAAAAATGATTCATTAATTTGTTGTATTTTCAATTTCAAAAATGAATAGATTAATATTTTATTAATATTTTTTTTATTATTCATTTATTTTATTTTATCTATTTACTATGAATTTATTTAGCTGAAATCTGTTTATTCGTTAAGCACTGGTTTGACTTTGTACCATTTGTTAAAAAAAAATAATATAAAAAAAAAAAAGAAAGAAAAAAGAGACAAACAGCAGGGGTTATTGGTGCATTTTGGAATAATTGATTTTTTTAAAATCAATACAATTATTGATTTTAAGTAGTTAGTAAATAAAAACAAATAAACTTATTAACTGCATGTACTTAATCATGATAAAAACAATGTTTTTATCTTTATAATTAACGATACAAGCAAACTAAATAATCAAATACCTGAAAATGGTTTCTTTTGGCTTATTTTATGTAAAACTATTTACGCAAAAATATGTGTCAAAGTATTTTTGAAGCATATTAAATCTGCTTTTAATTATTTTACTTCCATGATGGATATCAAAATAATCGTCTCATTATGCACAATCTTTACCCGTCAATAGCTTCTCTGATACTTTTATTTTGTTTTGATTGAAAAAAAAAATTGAGTTTTCATACAAAGAGAAAATGTTATATCAAACCGCTACAAACTACACACGGTCGTCCTGCCACAATATAAACAAGGTATAACGGTCAGTGAAAAAGATAATAGGTGTCATGGCTGTGTACCCCGAGTTAATTACTGGTATACATCAATGGCTTTGATGTTGTTTAGAAATGTGTTAACCTGGTTTTGAAAACCGATTTTTTAATCAAAACAAAGTATCAAAAATCTAATTGACGGATTAATATTGTGCATAATGAGACGATTATTTTGATATCCATCATGGACTTTAAGTAATAAAAAGTCGTTTTAATACGCTAATAAAATACTTTGTAGAACATCAACGGATGCAAGTGTTTATATAAAATAAAACTAAAGAAACACAATTTCTTGCAGATAAAAATGATTAATTAATTTGTTCTATTTTCAATTTCAAAATTAAATAGATTAATATTTTATTAATATTTTTTTTATTATTCATTTACTTTACTTTATTTATTTAATATGAATTTATTTCGCTGTAATCTGTTTTATTCGTTAAGTACTGGTTTGACTTTTTACCATTTGTTCAAAAAAAAAAATAATAATAATATAAAAAAAAAAGAAAAGAAAGAAAAAATAAAGAGATAGCAGGGAGCATTGGTGCATTTTAGAATAATTAATTTTTTAAAATCAAAACAATAATTGATTTTGAATAGTTAGTAAACAAAAAAGAAAAAAAAATATTAACTGCATGTATTTATTTATGATAAAAACAATCTTTTTTATTTTTAAAATTGACAATACATACAAATTAAATAATCAAATACCCGAAAATGGAATTTTGTTTGGCTTATTTTATGTAAAACTATTTACGCAAAAAATGTGTGTCAAAGTATTCTTGAAGCATATTAAATCTGCTTTTAATTATTTTACTTCCATGATGGATATCAAAATAATCGTCTCATCATGCACAATCTTTACCCGTCAATAGTTTCTTTAATACTTTTATTTTGTTTTGATTGAAAAAAAAAAATTAAGTTCTCATACAAAGAGAAAATGTTATTTCAAACCGCTGCAAACTACACACGCTCGTCCTGTCACAATATAAACAAGGTATAGTGGTCAGTGAAAAAAAAATAATAGGTGTCATGACTGTGTACCCCGAGTTAATTACTGGTAAACATCAGTGGCTTTGATGTTGTTTCAGAACCGTGTTAGGGTTTTGAAAACCGATTTTTTAATCAAAACAAAGTATCAAAAATCTAATTGACGGATTAATATTGTGCATAATGAGACGATTATTTTGATATCCATCATGGACTTTAAGTAATAAAAAGTCGTTTAAATATGCTAATAAAATACTTTGTAGGATATTTTAGCAAATAAATAAAATAAAACTAATAAATCAAATTCTGGGGGATATAAATGAGCGATAAATTAAAAAAATAAAAAATAAATGAATAAATTTATATAATTCTCATTATTTATTTATTTATTTATCTATTTATTTATTCATTGTTGTAGATTTATTCACATAAGAAAATAAATGAATAAAATATATCTTTAGTTTATTTAATAATTTTTATTTATTAAATAGACTTTTATTTTATTAATACATTCATATATCATTCCTTTCAATTAATTTTTTAATTCTTTGGTAAAACAAAAATATCCCATGCATGGATTTGATAATGTATTCTCAAATGTTTAAATCTAGTTCTTTTACAAAGACAGTTATTACGCTCAAAGATGTTTCAAAGTAGATCAAATAAAAAATGAAAAAGTTATAAATATATATAAAAGGTCCATAAAGTACAATGTATAAGCCGTCTAACATCACAAGATGAAATAAATTGCTAATTTATTTCTTCTTTATAATGATGCAATTCTCTGTCCTTCTCCCCCGAAATGCTACCACACTAAAATAATCACATTGATACAAGTAATAGAAACTAAATTACAGGGGATTTTGTTAAGGCATTTAAAAATGTGTTAACTTTTTACTAAGTCTATATTTTCAAAAAAAAAAAAACTTAAATTTTTCAAGACTATATTATTTTTCACTCTTAAATGCAACAAAAATATTTTTTAAACTCCTTTTCTTGGCCAAAATAAATGTCAGGGGACGACAGGGAGTAGACAGGGAAGGCAGGGACAACGACAGGGGACGACAGGGACTGGACAGGGAGATCAGAGAATGTCAGGGGACGACAGGGAGTAGACAGGGAGGGCAGGGACAACGACAGGGGACGACAGGGACTGGACAGGGAGAGCAGGGACAACGACAGGGGATCATAGGAGAAAGTCAGGGAGAGACAGGAAAATGTCAGGGACTGACAGGGGGACAACAGGGGATTTTTTGGAATCTAAGGGGATATTTAATTCAGTAGTGAAGGCTGTAATTATTGATATCCAAAGGAATGTCTTGTCATAAGCAATAAACCTATGAAGTACTAACTGTTCAAAAGTTGGTCAAACTCCAAATTCAAGATCAAGAGGTCAAATGGTGGTACTCAAAAAGGGTTTCATCACAAGGAATACACCTTTGAAATTAAAAGCCATAGACCCACCCATTCAAAAGTTATGGTCATGGTTAAAGTTTCTACCGACAAACAGGTTAACAGACAAACAGATTAACAGACAAACAGACAGACAGATGGAGAGAGCAAAAACTATATACCCCTGAATCTTCAATTAGGCCTACGTGGGCATAAAAACATCATGCATTAATGAAAACTTAAATAAAAAATATACTGCATTATTTATATGAATATTTACAATGTGCTGGTACAAATGAGATCATGCTTTATAATTAATTGACAACTCAGTAATAAGGGACCCAGTTACTGCCGTCATCGGGGGTCAACATCCCATTGACCAGGAGGACTATGTCCACAATCCACCAGATCCCCACTCCTCCCAGGGTCAGTAGTTTACCCACCGCTGTGCCTGTGTGTCCCAGGCAGAATCGGTCCATACCCAGAAATCCCAGCAGCACTGAATAGATGAGGGTGGTCACAAAATAGTGTCCATTATATCTGTCAAACAATGGAACATTGTGATACTATTTATAACATCAGCAAAATGAACACTTGACATATACTGAGAGAGAGACCATCATCTGCATTTGTAGCTTAATTAAATAAAAAATTAGAGGTAATGGTCTATATTCAAGCTCACCTGTACATAATCTCAGCGAGATGGGTAGAGAACTAAAATTTGGTTCTGACGTCTACTAGATGTCAGACCAAAATTTTAGTCTCTACCCATCTCGCTGAGATTAACCTGTACAGAAAAGATTCTTAATACTAGTATAATATTAAGGGTAGTGGTAGCAACATGTACATGACAGAAGGTAAAAAATAGTAGTTGCAAAATATAATATACTACTTTTTTCTTTCATGCACAAGTGACCTACATGTGTGCAGGATATAAAGGAAAATACTGCACTGTATGTTTCACAAAAATATTTATAATACTTACTTGATGCATGGAAAGCCCTCTTTTATGAAGGTTCTGTTTCCATAACAATCAATTCCCTGTAGAACTGAACACACCACTCCTGTATACTCAATATCCTCATGTCTCTGACCTCCATACTAAACAAGCATTAATAATTTGTCAATCGCAAACAGAATACTGTAGATGGTATCTGTTTTGAAAATTTAAAGACCAAGTTGATGAGGAAGATGGTACAATATTTGAGAACACTGGCAACATGTACATTAACAGTATCTTATTCTTTTTACTATGCAAAAGACGAAACAATCTGATTAAAATCAGATCCTTTGATCCACTCCCATAGATCGCTACACAAGGGCCAGATCCTTGTGTAGCTATTTAAATGAAGGGATCAAAGGATCTGATTTTAATTAGATTAAGATGAAATAGAGAATCTACTAACTATTTTTAATAGCTCACCTTTAAACATCCATGCCCAAGCTCTTTCTGTCTGGTATCATTTCCATTCAAATCAAGAGGCTCAGAACAGTTAAGGAATTCCATAGGTCTAAGAAAATTCAAATTATATTTCAGTTGTATCTCTATATAGACTTTATCTGACAAATATTAGAATTAGAATCAAATACTCACAAGTATTTACAGTGAACCAAAGGTCCATGGGGAACGTATTCCGACTTGCATGTACCATTGTAGCACCCTTGTTCATCACAGTGTATCACAAACGGGAGAAAGAATAGAATTACCAATGAGACTTTAATTAAATTTCTCATTTTGTCCATATTTTATGTCTTTTTAGCATTTTCCAAAACGTCAAATCTTCCTGTCAACATTTTAATCAAGAGTTCAAATGTTCTGTCTGAGCCCAGCAATTTTTGACGTGACTTTAAACGTTTTCAGGACCTTACAACAAACTGTACTCGGAACTCTACTTTCGTTTTTAGGAGCATTCGAAACATTTCTAAATTTTGCCTTGTGATTGTGATTGTGTACACGTTGGAAAAGAAGAGATCATCGAAATGGCAGATATTACAAATGTTTTCAAAGCAACAGTGAAGGCTTTACGAACCAGAAAGAAATTTACAGGAGATGGACAAAAATCACAGACGTTTACTAATATTTTACCATCATCAAAGCACAAAGGCGACTTTGAAAAGAAAAGCAAAGAAGTAGTATGTTGACTTTCATCATATTTATTTTAAAATGTTAATTAAAACATGTTTACTGTTTACATGTGTACGTGGATGTATTGTTTTTTCCCAGAATGTATACTTTTCTATTGCAATCTGCTTCTTTTTAAATCCCATTATTTAAATCATTCAAAGAGTATGGAAAAGATACAATGTACACTGATGTAATGCCATGGGTCACCATATTGAAACATGTTTGTATACAATACTTCTATGTGTAAGTAGTATAACTAGTATAACTATTTTAGGTGCAGAGTATCACAAAATTGAAAGACTTCTTACTGGAACACAGGAAAGCCTATGTTAGCACTGGAGGGTAATTATTAAGACTTAGACTTGTAATACAATAGGGTGAATTCACCATGCATCGGACACATACCTTGCTTCGGACAACTTTAGGCAATAAACTCTCTTTCAACTTAAGAGTTCCGTGTATTTATTTGATTCTGTCTTAAAGATGAAAATTTAAATTTTTTAATGATACTGATTGTTATTATCATGTTGTGATAAAAATACTCCGATAATGGCCTTGAAGTTACGTCATATTTTACATCATCAAAGGGGAATAACCAGAAATTTATGATTTTGCAATTTTTAGAGTTATCGTTCTTAAAATTCGACTTCAACGGAACAGATCAGACTTTGGTGAATTTTATCAAAGATTGGCAACTTTACATAAATTTTAAAGAATTTTCCCTTCGATATTTGTATAATTCTTTTTAAAGCTGGTTTTTACTAGTATGTTCATTTCTCCGTACATCGGACACAAATTAACCATGCATCGGACACTTTCCGATGTAAAGGTAATCACGACCATTTTGATACAGAACCCTACTGACAGCTGTTTTTGTCGGAAATAGAAAATAAAAACTCTAAATTTTCAGTCAAAATACAAGTTATCCATATATGAGGTCTAAAATCTGACTCAATTTATTTCTACAAACCACAGTATGATAGCACATGAGAAAAAAGGCGCGAATTACCGCATTTCAAGCATTTTAAGAATTACTAAGGCAAAGTGAGGCTTCTTGAATCGTTCTACATTTGTGCAACGATATCGTCAATTATATTTAAGTTGAGGGTTATTTCTTAGATAAAAGATGAAAGTTTATCCATATCAAGGAATTCAAAGCACTGTCATGAAGGTATTATATTTTCCCAATTCAAATACCGTCTGTCCGATGCATGGTAAACAATGTTCGATCCATGGTGAATTCTGAGTTATTTTTAAAAACTCGATTTTTTATAATATTTTCTCAATAAAAAGCATATAATTGTGTCCAAAATTTATATTTTAATCACATACTAAATGTTAAACTCCATTTTGATAGTTTTCCGTCGGTAGCGATATCACTAGGACTTGTTGAAGTACAAGGGTATCCGATGCATGGTGAATTCACCCTATGTACAATTTATAAATGTACAGTGTAATTGATTGCAGTAATTACCATTACATGCAATGTATATAAAATTCATAACTTAAATATGTGAGGGCGTGTGTGTAACAAGTGCTTTTAATTAATATGAAATTTTTGATTTCTTCTCATTCATACAAAATAACTTATCAACACATTTTGTAGTCACCTGAGTGCAGAAACATCCAGCATGACAGACACGGAACGTGATAAGATTGATGAAGAGGCAGAGAAGGTGATCCACATGTGTCAGGAATCTTTGACTCTGATTAAAAGTAAGTTTTACAAAATTACTTCAGAAAAGCTACCCTAAAACCTCATTTTCTTGTAAGTTTTACCCTTACTAGAAAACAATTGGTACCTCAGTATTGGCACATTATAAAAATTTTTCAAGATATTCTGGGTGTCCAAGATATCGTAGTTGAGACTTAATATCCACAATTTCACTGCAAAGCAAAACAAAGGCCAGTTTAGTAAACATGAATCTGATAGGTTATTTGTCCTATGTTCGGCAATATCTTTATTTGTTTATTACAAAATTTAAATTTTCTCAAACAGACTTAAATGGCCGACTTCAACCTCAGACAAAAGAACACAGAGCAGCTGTCATCAAACTTGTAGATGATTATTTGAAAGGTATGCAGATGCAGAGTTTAAAGAATCTTTAGGAGTAGAATTTGCTAAAAAAAAAAAAATAACAAGTATAATAAATAGAATAAAGAGTAAAGAAATAAAGAGAATAAAGTACTCAAAACAAATGAGAGAAAATTGAAACACAATTTTGAATCAAAGAAATCTCAATGTATTAATGTAACACTTGTCTACTAGTACAGATAAAGATAATCAGAACTGAATCTTAATTTTCAAAATTTTATTTTTGAAATGAACATTTGATTTTTTGCAGTGGTTTGTAAACTTTACAGTGAGCAGAGAGCAGTGAGGGTGAAGAGGGTAGTTGATAGAAAAAGATTGTAAGTGTTATCTTTACTTTCCCCTGCCATAAAATTCCTGATTGTTTTATTATCTTTTGACCGATCACAATCACGTTAGGCCATAGTGATAACACTTGAACTTACATGTAGTTATTCACTGCTTTACTTTCTGTTTATTTGTTATGTCAACTTCTGAAACTTAAATAAATATGATTGGTGCTTCTCAGTGAAAGAAGCTTCCAAGAAAAATATCAAAAGAATTAGCATGTCTAGAGTAGACTTAGGACCCTCATGCCTAAAGGATTGAATTCCTTGTTCTTTTATATAGTCATAGTCCATGTACATGAAAAATTTAATACATGATGATATATGAAAGTTTTAGGTAATTGTCTTTAAGTAACAGAGCCTTTATAAACGTACAGTTATTTTAATTGTTAAATACATGTATATTTGAAGGTCAAAATTGGAACCTGACAAGTTAATAAAACAGAAACGACTTAACAAGCAGCCCTCTCCAACAGAACTTAACAACACTAATCAATCCAATGAACAGAGCCAGTCTAGTCAAGGTAAGAAATACTGACAAACACTAATCAGTCAGTGAACAGAGCCAGTCAAGTCAAGGTAAGAATTACTGAAAAGCACTAATCAGTCCAATGAACAGAGCCAGTCTAGTCAAGGTAAGAATTACTGACAAACACTAATCAGTCCAATGAACAGAGCCAGTCTAGTCAAGGTAAGAATTACTGACAAACACTAATCAGTCCAGTGAATAGTAGGCAGAGCCAGATTTAAAAGATGTTTTGGAATACTAGCTCACATTGACACTAAGCCATCTTATCCATGTTCAAGAAACCCAAACAATTATATTTTGTCTGCATGTGAAGGGACCTATACATGTATCATGCAATGTTTCATTTTTATACGCCCGTCTTAAGACGGGACGTATTATGTTATAGGCTTCGTGTCCGTCCGTCTGTCTGTTAGCTTTTTCGTTTCCGGCTCATAACTTTAATACTATTAGGACTAGGATTATCAAACTTTGTCATCTGATGCATCTTGGGTAGAAGGTGTGTAGCGCACAAAAAGTAGGTCGCTCTGACCTTTTATTAAAATGTTATAGCCAAATATGAAAAAATCCTTTCCGGCCCATAACTAGAAAACTATAAGACTTACAATCATCAAACTTGGCCAGTTTATGCATCTTAGGTAGAAGGTGTGTCGCGACCTATTTCAAGGTCACTGTGACCTTTAATTTAAGTGAAATTTTAAAAAAAATGTGTCTTTTTACTATTCATTTAAGCATCCCAAATAATGTAAGAGTATTGCACTGTCCTTATTAAAAAAGTGTTAAATCAAGAAAATACTTATTTTTTTAAGCATATACTTGACAGCAATCTATAACAAATATAATGTATGTTAGAGAAATCCTGCCTCTCCCTTGAGTGTAATTATCAAGCACTGGCCAAGAAGAATTTTGATAACAGAAATTTGCATGTCAAATTACAGAGAAATTAATGAGTTTTGAGTGTGAGGATCTAACTGATAGAGCATTGGTGTTATCTATATCCCTTGGGTATTGGGCAGATGGGTAAGCCTGTTGGATTAAAAATAGCTCTTGTTGGCTAGCCTAAGTTTTAAAATGAATTTGATGAAAAGTAATTAAAACTAATTTGATATTGCATAATAGACTAATCTGATATTATATAATATTATTAATTTAAAAACTAATTTTTAAATGTAGGGTGGGGTGGAATCGGGGGTGTCCATATGAATTAAATATTAAAACCTATCGGACATTAAATCTCAACCAAAAAAAAAATCTTTGAATATTTTATATGTTTAAAAAAATTATGGCAGATAGTGCAGACCCATTCATCTCTTGGTAGTAATGAGTAGACAAGCATCCAGTTAAAGATTAATTAATGAGTTCAATGCAGGAAGGCTATCTGATCAAGCAGTCTTATCAGTCTTATCTGTAACCTTTGGGGATTAGACTGAAGAAGTGCTGGTCAGTTTATAGCATATGTCATTTGATGGCCAGCCTTTTCTTTTAAAAATTAATTTGGTATAGATTAAGGTGTTAAGACTAATTTGATATTGTTTAATATGATGGGCATTTGACAAGTCACAACCAGCATAGAATCATGTAATATTTATTATAATTAATGCCTACATCACAGAGAATGGATAAATATTTGAAGGAATGGAAAAATCATGGAAATCTTAGAATCAAGGTTGACATGATTTTCTTGCACGCTAAACTGTTCAAGAAAATTGTATTTTTTGACGGGCGTATCATGCTTTGGCGCGGCACTTTATTTATGATCATTTTATACACATAATTAAAAGACGCAAAAAATTAAGTATTGTATGCTTCTGATCCCTGTGTCTTCCAACACATTAAACTAAGAGTTTGACATTTTAGTAAAACACGTTTCAGTGAAGTGTCATGGATGCATGTTACAATGCTGATTATTATTATTATGTGTAATTTGATATATCAGTTAAATTCATATGATATTTTAAAACAACTAGGGAAAAAAATCATTTCGATATATGTATGAATTCATTATCAGCCCATTTTTAAAAGTTTTTTTAAGTATAACACATACTTAAGAAAGTTGGGTTTTTTTTTAGAAGATGAAAAAACACCCACAAAATCTAAACATTCAGAGGAAAGGATGGAGGAAGAGGAGGACATATCACCGGAGGAGGCACAGATGGTAAATTACTGTAAAACCACGTATTTTGCATCTTCTTAAGCCAAAGTACAGTGTCTGCATATAGCTTGCAATATGATGTTGAAAGGTTGTGTCGGAGTTTGTTTTCCAACTATGCTTTACTAGAATTGGTCGATATTTTAACGAGCTACAAAATACAACAACAACTTAAGAATTCTCTTATCATTTAACTGTGGCCAGAACAGGAACTGATTTTATATTTGGTCCGTGTTATTTTGTGGTGTCAAATTTTCATTTTTAGCTCACCTGAGCTGAAAGCTCAAGTGAGCTTTTCTGATCACATTTTGTCCGGCGTCCGTCTGTCTGTCCGTCTGTCTGTAAACTTTTCACATTTTCGACTTCTTCTCAAGAACCACTGGGCTAATTTCAACCAAACTTGCCAAAAAGCATCCTTGGGTGAAGGGGATTCAAGTTTCTTCAAATGAAGGGCCAAGCCCTCATTCAAGGGGAGATAATTGGGAATTAATGAAAATTTGGTGGCATATTTTAAAAATCTTCTTCTCAAGAACCACTGTGCCAGGAAAGATGAAACTTATGGGGAAACATCCTCAGGTAGTGTAGATTCAAGTTTGTTCAAATCATGACCCCCGGGGGTAGGGCGGGGCCAAAATGGCCGATCAAAGTTTTACATAGAAATATATAGGAAAATTCTTTAAAAATCTTCTTCTCAAGAATGACAAAGCCATAATTCATCATATTTATATGGAAGCATGCTCAGGTAGTGTAGATTCAAGTTTGTTCAAATCATGACCCCCGGGGGTAGGGCGGGGCCAAAATGGCCGACCAAAGTTTTACATAGAAATATATAGGAAAATTCTTTAAAAGTCTTCTTCTCAAGAATGACTAAGCCATAATTCATCATATTTATATGGAAGCATGCTCAGGTAGTGTAGATTCAAGTCTGTTCAAATCATGACCCCCGGGGGTAGGGCGGAGCCAAAATGGCCGACCAAAGTTTTACATAGAAATATATAGGAAAATTCTTTAAAAATCTTCTTCTCAAGAATGACAAAGCCATAATTCATCATATTTATATGGAAGCATGCTCAGGTAGTGTAGATTCAAGTCTGGTCAAATCATGACCCCCGGGGGTAGGGCGGGGCCAAAATGGCCGACCAAAGTTTTACATAGAAATATATAGGAAAATTCTTTAAACATCATCTTCTCAAGAATGACAAAGCCATAATTCATCATATTTATATGGAAGCATGCTCAAGTAGTGTAGATTCAAATTTGTTCAAATCATGACCCCCAGGGGTAGGGCGGGGCCAAAATGGCCGACCAAAGTTTTTAAAGATATATATAGGAAAATTCTTAAAAAATCATTATCTTAAAAAATAGCAAATCCATGATTGGTCATGGGACTACTTATGGATTTAAACTTTACAATAAAAAGCCATTTTCTACTTTTTCCTACCCTTAGTGCTCAGGTGAGCGATGTGGCCCATGGGCCTCTTGTTTGAGGGAAAATAAGGGGATTTAATTACGTGATAAAAGGAAATAAAACAAACTTTGTGGGTCTCCTCATACATGTACTATGAAACAACAAAAATTAAACCCATGAAAATTGGTGATTTTACAGTATGTTCCCAGTCATGTGAAGACTTAATATTTAGACAAATGATTGCAGTGTGTCTCTTTTTCATAGATCTTTTGCGATTTAGCCTGTGGGAATTCTTGGACATAAAAACCTTGTGATTTTTTTTTAGAAGACAAAGCAACAATGTAATTGTTAGCTCACCTGAGCTGAAAGCTCAAGTGAGCTTTTCTGATCACCCGTTATCCGTCCGTCCGTCTAGCTGTCCGTCTGTCTGTAAACTTTTCACATTTTCGACTTCTTCTCAAGAACCGCTGGGCCAATTTCAACCAAACTTGCCACAAAGTATCCTTGGGTGAAGGGGATTCAAGTTTGTTCAAATGAAGGGCCAAGCCCTCATTCAAGGGGAGATAATTGGGAATAAATGAAAATTTGGTGGCATATTTTAAAAATCTTCTTCTCAAGAACCACTGTGCCAGGAAAGATGAAACTTATGGAGAAACATCCTCAGGTAGTGTAAATTCAAGTTTGTTCAAATCATTACCCCAGGGGGTAGGGCGGGGCCAAAATGGCCGACAAAGTTTTACATAGAAATATATAGGAAAATTCTTTAAAAATCTTCTTCTCAAGAATGACAAAGCCATAATTCATCATATTTATATGGAAGCATGCTCAGGTAGTGTAGATTCAAATTTGTTCAAATCATGACCCCCTGGGGTAAGGTGGGGCCACAATGGCCGATCAAAGTTTTACATAGGAGTATATAGGGAAAATCTTTAAAAATCTTCTTCTCAAGAACCACTGGGCCAGGAAAGAAGAAACTCATGTGGAAGCATCCTCACGTAGTGTAAATTCAAGTTTGTACAAATCATGACCCCCGGGGGTAGGGTGGGGCCACAATGGCTGATCAAAGTTTTACATAGGAATTTACAGGAAAATTGTCTTCTCAAGTACTTCAAAGCAATGATTAGTGATAGTATAGGAAGAAAATGTTTTTAAAAAATCCTTTTATCAAGAACAGCAAAGTCATATGCTGTATTAATATGAAGGCATTCTAAAGTAGTATTAAATTCAAGCCCCCCCCCCCACCCCCTTCAGTAAACTTTTCAGTTCTGATCTGATTTGTGTTTTTTCCTAGCCGATTTGCTCAGGTGAGCGATGTGGCCCCTGGGCCTCTTGTTAACTTCTTGCATCTGCTCTTTTTCTGCATTATAATTCAAGGAATAATTTTCAACTTTTTCATGATATCTTTCAGTTTGAGAAAGAAAATGCAGCATTATTTGAAGAGATGAGTAGTATGTCACAAGAAGTTGGGTTAGTAATGCTTAACATATTTAAATCTGTCTGTCTTAAATTGAATTTACTTCCCCTTGATGTAAAAACCATTAGAGTTTAATCTTGATACTCTGTATCTGCTTTTCACTAAAGCTTGGACTGGTTTTTAGCTCACCTGAGCCGAAGGCTCAAGTGAGCTTTTCTGATCACATTTTGTCCGGCGTCCGTCTGTCTGTCTGTCTGTAAACTTTTCACATTTTCGACTTCTTCTCAAGAACCGCTAGGCCAATTTCAACCAAAGTTGCCACAAAGCATCCTTGGGTTAAGGGGATTCAAGTTTGTTCAAATGAAGGGCCACGCCCTCATTCAAGGGGAGATAATTGGCAATTAATGAAAATTTGGTGGCATGATTTAAAAATCTTCTTCTCAAGAACCACTGTGCCAGGAAAGATGAAACTTATGGGTAATCATCCTCAGGTAGTGTAGATTCAAGTTTGTTCAAATCATGACCCCCGGGGGTAGGGCGGGGCCAAAATGGCCGACCAAAGTTTTACATAGAAATATATAGGAAAATTCTTTAGAAATCTTCTTCTTAAGAATGACTAAGCCATAATTCATCATATTTATATGGAAGCATGCTCAGGTAGTGTAGATTCAAGTTTGTTCAAATCATGACCCCCGGGGGTAGGGCGGGGCCAAAATGGCCGACCAAAGTTTTTCATAGAAATATATAGGAAAATTCTTTGAAAATCTTCTTCTCAAGAATCACCAAGCCATAATTCATCATATTTATATGGAAGCATCCTCAGGTAGTGTAGATTCAAGTTTGTTCAAATCATGACCCCCGGGGGTAGGGCGGGGCCAAAATGGCCGACCAAAGTTTTACATAGAAATATATAGGAAAATTCTTTAAAAATCTTCTTCTCAAGAATGACAAAGCCATAATTCATCATATTTATATGGAAGCATCCTCAGGTAGTGTAGATTCAGGTTTGTTCAAATCATGACCCCCGGGGGTAGGGCGGGGCCAAAATGGCCGACCAAAGTTTTACATAGAAATATATAGGAAAATTCTTTAAAAATATTCTTCTCAAGAATGACAAAGCCATAATTCATCATATTTATATGGAAGCATCCTCAGGTAGTGTAGATTCAAGTTTGTTCAAATCATGACCCCCGGGGGTAGGGCGAGGCCAAAATGGCCGACCAAAGTTTTACATAGAAATATATAGGAAAATTCTTTAAAAATCATCTTCTCAAAGATAGAAAATCCATGATTGTTCATGGGACTACTTTTGGATTTTACCTTTTCAATAATAAACCAATTTATACTTTTGCCTAGCCACAGTGCTCAGGTGAGCGATGTGGCCCATGGGCCTCTTGTTGACTTACAATTTAGTATTATCGGTAGTTAAAACTATAAAGATAATAATACAAATTAGGTCAGACAAAAAAAAATAATATTAGATCTGAACTGGATTGATAATGGTCAGATTATGCTCCTGCTGTGTCTGTGAATATTTGATTTTTAGATTTTATGCATTTTCCTTTACAGTCAAATAGAGGGTAAAGTCATGGAAATTGCCAAACTCCAAGAAATCTTCACAGAAAAAGTGTTAGAACAGGTTAGCTCCCTTTAACTCTTATACCATACCAATATTATAAAAGAGTCTAGATCGTTTTCTTATGATAAATTTTGCCTAGAATTATTCCCTTTGGCCGCCATCTTGTAGGGCAAAGTAGTGAATTTCCAACTTTAAACATGCATACCAGAAATATATGGGGGAAAATATTTAAAATCTGGAAATTATGAATTAATAGAGGCTTTAACAAATGTATATTCATATGAAAAACTGTGTTATCTTTACCTCAGTACCTAGTATAACAAATTGAACTTGAATAACAAAGGATCTGGGAATGTTGACTACAATATGGTGGATATTGGGAAATTACTCTTGCTTAAATCACCTCAATGGAAAACGATCTATATTCAGTATATCATAATTATGATATTAAAAAAGTGAATAAAAATCAATAGACTGAATGGCAACAAATCTCTAAAAACCATACAGAATGATTAAAATGTTTACTATTGAAATAACAAGAGAGTGTGTGAGAATAGCAAACCATATTTGTTTACTTAATTGCATTTTCAGGAGAAAGATATAGACAGAATTGAGCAGGTGGTTGTTGGTTCCACAGAAAACATTAAAGAGGGCAATGAGGAGATCAGACAAGTATAAACTATATCATATCTACACAAGTATAAAGTTAAATTTCAGGTGGTCCACAATTAAAACTGAGAGTAAACTCCATTTTGTTTCTTTGTAGTTCTTGTAAAAATGGATTAATACATTATTGTGTGGAAAATGATACACGTACTTCAAAGATTCTTGTTTAGCTAAAGATATGTACAGTAATAACTTTGACCCAAGGTCATTTTGGCAAGTTCAATGACAGATATTATTTCTGTAATATAACTTTCTTGAGATTAAAAATAAAGAGAGGCGAGTCTTGTGGCACACGGGGCTAGTATCACACTTTTTAACTGCAATTTTGGAATCCAAATAAAATCTAAGGATATATTTTGATTAACTTTCATATATCCTTTTTCAGGCTATGAAGAACAGTGCTGGTTTCCGTGTTTACATTTTATTTTTCCTCCTCCTACTGACTCTATCACTACTTTTCCTGGACTGGTACAACAGCTAACAAAGGGAGACAACTTGTATAGAAAAAGAATTCAAGCTGTTAAAGGGAGCCAACTTTTGTCCCCCAGTGTTATAATTTGAAACCTCACAGATGCCAACTTGGGAAAGTGCAATTTGCTTGCTGGAGCGTCCTCCTTATAGACAATAGTATTATTACTACTTTAGCCAGCTCTTCTTTTGCCTTTTGTACACCCCATCACAGAAATGATAACAATAATTTAGACAAGTAGTGCATTGTATTTAGTGCATATAACAGTAATTTTAAAAACAAGTTGCACTTGTATACTGTAAAATCACATATTTTCATGGGGTCAAATTTTTGTGGTTTTAGTAAAAACTCTTGGTTCGTGGGGATTTGAATTCGTGGATGAAGAATTGTTATTATGTATGTAACATTTTACATTTAGTGGTGGACATGAATTCGTGGGTCTCTTCATACCTCAAAAACAATGAAAATTAAACCCCCACGAAAATTTGTGATTTCACAGTACTTTGAATTGATTGTTACATATAAATGGCTTAGTTGTGGCTATTTCTTCCTCAAACAAATGAAGAGCTTTGTGTTTGTGTAATTTTGGATTTCAAGAAAAATAACACAGTAATTGTCTTTTCTTCGTTTTATTTCATAACATATAAATTGTTAAAGTATATAAAAAATTAATTTATATGAATTTGTATATTTGTTTGTACATGAAATAATTAAATAAATTATCAAGAGGATCACAAGATTTGATGAGGGGAGGATTTCCTATGAAGGATTTCCAGTGGTGTAATTAACGAAGGGAACTGGGAACAGATTGTCAGGAAATCAAAGGGCAAGGCCTTTCTTCAATATGATGTTTCCATACTTGGCCATCTCTCTGTAGAAAAGGGGAAAAAAAAAGAAAATTAAGTATCTCAACTGTTAAGTGTTCTAAAAAAGAGTTTATTGGTTTAACAATAATGGATTTGCTAAATTAACTAGAAATATGTCCGTAGGACATGAATGCCCCACCGAGGATATATTAGTAAAGCAACATGAAAATTTGTATGTGTATAAAATTTGATCAGTTTGGTTCAGGTAGGGCTTATAGTTACTAGGGAATAAAAATGTAGGTCAGATCCAGCATCTGAAGCAAGTCTGGTAGTGTCCATCCCTAGATGCATCATCCATGCAAGTTTGGTTCAGGCAGGGCTTATAGTTATTTGGCAATGAAAATATAGATCAGATCCAGCATCCGAAGCAAGTCTGGTAGTGTCCATCCTTAGATGCATCATCCATGCAAGTTTGGTGCAAGTAGGGCTTACAGTTCCTAAGGAAGGAACCTGCTCCAAAAACTTTAACCTGGTCACTCATCTGGAAAATGTAGGTCAGATCCAGCATCCGAAGCAAGTCTGGTAGTCTTCATCCCTAGATGCATCATCCATGCAAGTTTGTATCAAAATGTGAAGTTTGATAACACCGTCATGAATGGTATGTTTAAAACTGAGCTAAACACTAATTTAAGAAAAGTGAGGTCAAGGTCAAAGGAAAGGTCAAGGTCAAAAAATGTTGAAAATAATTAAAATGCATGAAATAGCATTACCCTGTGTGAACAATGGCATATGCTGTCTTGGCTCTTCTATAAAAGGCAAATCTTTCTACATACTCGATTACCACCTATAACAAAAACACATTTCACCAGGTCATTAACAACATTCATAAGTTTTTAGATTCCTAAATTGATTATACTATTATAAGCTAATGTATTCTATCTCCTTCAAATTACCTACATTACATCAGGTCTTATGTCCTGTTCTGGCCATGGGACCACTGACAAACTTATAATTTTTTTTTCATTCAAAGCACCAACCATTTGGACTTTCAAAACTCACTGACAGATAAAATGTAAGCAGAATTTAGGCAGTTAACATCTCATTGTACATACATGTATTACAGATAGAAAGGCTTTGTTAAAAGAATTGGCCGAGAGAGAGAGAGGGAAAAACTCAGGATTTTCTGTAAAAATTCAAAGAAAGTTTGTCAAGAGTCCAACAGCCATGAGTGGGCTAAGAACACAATGTTTGTGAGGATCGATGCAACAAAAATTGAAGTGTTCTCTTCACATGAAGATGTTCACTTCTATTTAAACCAATCAACATGCATACAAAGCCATGCAAAGAACTTGGCAAATATAATGACAATTCACTTGCAGAGACTTACGGAATACTGTGGAATCATTGCAATTTGTGGGAGTGCAAAATTATGTTAGTTTGCAGCGATTTTATTTTGTGGGTATTTTGCACTTACACAAGATTCAATGAATAAATATATTGACAAATTAATTATTTATGGACATGTTAACTGTTGGATAAGGGTGGCCAACAAAATCCACAAACATTGGTCCCCCAAAAACAGTAATGATTCCACACTATTTTTTCTTCTGTGGTAACTCTTTGAAAGTTGGCAGAGTTTATTTCTTGAACATTCTATCAGAATGTAAATTTTGCCAAGCAATAGGTCAGGAGCTAAGGAGGCCTAATATGCATGTAAATCTGTCTTTGTGTTTGTCAGTGGGCGGGGACTATTGAAATTGACATGGAAGGCTTGTGTAATTTAAATCTGTTAGTCTACATTTTTCAAAATCTAAATTTACAATTTTATTTCACAATGAAATGGAAATTAATGCACAGAATAACTAAGTTTAACTTAGTAAAGTATGCCGGGGACATCAATGATAGTTGGAAACTTGGGCTTTGCCCCTTATGCAAATTATCCCATGATTCCAACTATCGTTGATTCCCTAGCATACTCTACTAAGAAGACAGTGATTCCTTATGTATACTGTTTAAACATGAAGAGTTGATGATGGGGAAACTATAAGTATGCTGAGCAAAGAAATGTATTCAAAGCTATCAGATTTCCAGTGGTAACCTTACTGTCACTGATTTTCAGATTTATAAATAGACTAATGACATACACTGGGGCCCTCCCTGTTTCTGATAATCTCCTTGTACTTGCTCCACACGGGAATCTGTATGTGACTGTCTTTATCACTCTGGACTGGGTCCATTAAGGCTACCTAGGGAATAGAACAATGGGTCAATAGGACAGGTGTATTATGGCCCAGTCAATTTTTTTTTTTCATATTTGCGAAACTAGCAAATTTTTGTTATTCTTCAAATTAATTGCGAAAAACATCAGATTTTCCAATTTTATTTAAAATATGATATAATGGAACATGATATTTCTAACATCAAGTGTAACTTACTGAAGAGTCAACATACGTATCAAGGGGGAGCAACTGTAGAATTGCATCCAAAAGGGTAGGTATATCTAGACCTGTCAGAAAAAAATCACAATCTAATTAAAATGAGACTTCTTAGATCTGCGCCGTATTCACTCTGCGTAAGAGTGTATACATGGCTGATCCAAGAAGTCTCATTTTAATTCGATTCCAATGGAAAAAATCATTGATGTGAACATTATTTAACCCAGCAAATCATGAAAATTAATAAGTTTAATTGATTACATGTCATATACTGAAATAGTCTTTGCATAATAATTTTTATGGAATTTCCTTTTTCAATTGAATTTCTTGTCAGCATTAACAAATAAGAATTGTAAGGCCTACGGTGTAGATTTACTTGATTTAATTGAAATGTTCTTATTTCAAGATTTCATAACATTTCAAACGTTCTATAAAATTCTTACCATCTGCCCTGACTTCTATTGGGCCATCCCTGCATATAGAAGACGATGGAAAATGGGCATCAGCTAATACTAGAAAAAAGAAATTTCTGCTGGTTATGTATGTTTGAAAATGTTGAACAAATGTTTCAGACTTGCAGAGTAAATTCAAGTTACAATAAATAAATAAAGCAATTTTAAACAAAAAATTGTATTTTCTTTCGGAGAATTCAGTACCAATCTCATCTCCATGTCCCATGGACGCCAGAACATGCAGGAGCTGAGGTGACAAACATTTTGGGATGTTTTTGAGAGGCATTTTCTCTCACTGCCTATCCCTTTCTCAACACATACACCGATACAGAAGAACTTCGAACTTCAACTTGCAGTCAGAAGCTTTATGGTGTCAACAAACTAGAGTTACTTCCCTTTGACCGTGCAAAAATAGTTCAAGTAAGATAACACATTGTGCTTTTCTTTTTGGGGGGAAATTAGTTGTATGCCATGTATAGTAAATCAATTAATGAAACTGATATAATCATTGACAGTAAAATATTACTATTGAAAAAAGTGATACGTAAAAATTGCGAAACTAAATGATACGTTTTAACAGGGACCTATATGTCCCTGGTTTTAATTCAAAATAATTTGTTAAAAACAACAGAGTTGATATAATTTTTTTCTCCATAATACACAGTGGTGTTCTTATATTGAATATACTTCAAAAGATCTGATTCATGCCATTCCAGATTACTTTTTTCTTTCAAGACATGATTGAATAGATAATTTTACTCTCTCTCTCTCTCTCTCTCTCTCTCTCTCAATTAAGCGCGCGCATGTACGCCCTTTTTTTAATTTACTACTTTTTATTAGGGCCTAACAAATGATTATTTATTTTACAATTAAGTATACAAAGGTATATTTGCGAATGAATACTTTTTTCCAGGCACGTAGCTGCAATGAACGGTTTTAAAAGGGGGTTTCCATAGATATCCCACAAGCCAAAAAAAATTTGTCAAACAAACAAATAAAACAAAAAAAACAAAATTTTAAAAAATCAAGTTCAAATTTGAAAATTCTATTTCGTAAGGGGGGTGGGTGGGTTAAACCTTCCATTTTGTGTTTGGTAATTTTTAAATCAAATGATATAATTATAATCCTTAAATTGGCCATTGCTTAGCCTTAAAGTAACAAAATAAAACCACCGGTACCTAGCCTATTGACCAAAAACAGTTACATGTACTATGCTCAGAGAAAAAAAATTTGCCCCTGCCCTCTCCTTCCCGCGATCCACGAACAATTTTTTTTTCCCATTTAATTCATCAATTCAATTTTTATTGTATTCATTAATTTTTAAAAATAAATAATGTAATGAGTGATGATTGAGTATATTTGAATGATTTTGTTCAGAAATGGGTAAGAGGCCAACTTCTTTCAGTACCAATTTTTTGGAGCATAAAATACTCCATTCCCCTGATATCACTTTACTGTTGTTACAAAGTGGGGGGGGGGGGGGGGGGGTGGTGTAACCAGCCTTTCAATGAACATTTTCAACAGTAAAAGAAATGTTGGGGAAAAATCTGGTCATATGTGATTGATAATTGAAAAAAATCGATTTTGAAGAGTACGGGCAGGGAGTCCGACTCAGATCAGGATGTAAAAGAGATTCCACTTGCAGAGTTATTATATGTATATACATAGTATCTTAAACAAGCTAAGAGAGACTTAATTTGGACATCCTCTCCCCCTCCGATCGAAATAGGTTTTTCACGTTTGTGACTATTTTTCAGGCTTTTTCGAGTTCGGGACTCTTTTTTCGCTTGTTGGAACAACCGTGGAAAAAATTCCTGGATTTTGTGACTATTTTTCAGGCTTTTTCACGTTCGGGCTTTTTTTTTTTTTTTTTTTTTTGCTTGATGGAACAACCGTGGAAAAAATTCCTGGATCCGCCTGACATTTGTCTTAATAAGTGCTAAGGTGTAATGTACTACACACAACCTTAATTCCTCATTTTCCTTTAATGTCTATTTTGCGACAGTTTTACTATAAGTATGTTTCATTAAAGTTTTAGAAGTCAGAGAATTTTAAATTAACATCGGATTTCCAGAGTTCAAACTGCAGCTGTAACAGTAGGAATATCGATTTGAAAAGTATGGTGCAAATATGAATAATACAAATTTCCCAAGTATATTCGTCATATTCAAGTCTCTTGGGAAATTCATAACCGTTGTTATTTTATACTGGAGGCAGAGACTATCGTCCTTATATCTTTTTTAATTCAATTAGCCCATCTGAAATACATATATATGACTACTATAAAATTTGCACATTGATCCGTGGTTTATACAGTGTAATCAGTTCCTCTTTTCTCTCTTCTTTAGTACAAGTACAAATTTTATATTCAAGTGAATGCTATAATTTGAATAAATATCGATATTTCGAGCGTACGTGTATAAAACACTGTAGTAAGAAATAATTTAATTTTTCGGGGGGAGGGGGTAAAAAAAACTATAAAAAAGTTTCAAAGTTATCGAGGGGCACAGCCATAAATTGGCTTTGCTTTTTCTATCCTATGGTATATACCATTGAGAAAATTAATTGTTAACATCTCCGGTGCCCCTGCCTGGTCAAATGTCCTGTAGCTGAGAGAGGAGCTCTAAAGTTTAGGACCGGGTCTTCGATCTCTGTGTCTTTTTCAGCTACGAGATAAATATGAATAGAGCGTAATCTGCCACCGGGTATATAAAATATTAAATGAATTTATAAAACTCAAACATTATTTTTGATAAAATTTTTTGAAAGTATTCATCTGAGAGTGTGTGTTGGGGGAGGGGGGTGTTTGTATCTTGTTTAATGTCCCTCTCGAAAATTTTTCACTCGAGACGCCACCACTTATCGGTGGAGAGCTGCAAACTTTGTCCTATACTTGGCACTTACGGCCATTGAGCAGTGAGGGATCTTTTTCGTGTCAGGGCCTACTGTGTACACGGGACCTCGGTTTATACGGTCTCATCCGAAGGACCGCTCTCCACGTCCCACGGTGGATTTCGAACCCGAAATGTAAGGATCAACTCCTTACTTCGCGACCCTAGACGCTTTAACCACTGCTTCACGCGCGGGGGGAGGGGGGGGGGCGTTCGGGGTGGGGGTGGGGGTAGATTTCGTGTGTTTGAAAGTATACCGGGATTCATAATACTATGAAATCTAGGGAAAAGGAGATTGGGTCTTATGACTATGTATTTCATGCCCAATATATTAAAAATTATGACATAATGTATTATTCTGCATACAAAATAGATATGTACATGCTTATAATCTTCTAGCCTTTTATTTTTGTCTTTAATCCCTTTGAAAATCACATTTTTTAAATAACGAGTTAACCAATATTTGAGAACATATATATGAATCGTGCACTCGCGGGGGATTTTCACCTGTAGTTTAAACTTGTATACAAAGCGATTTGAAAAGTAATTCCTCTGGATTATCGATGACTAGGGAGCGATCGACTTTTGATATCGATCTGCCGCGTAGAATGACAGTGAACGTGAGCCAGTCGAGACTTGAGCGCTGAAAATAACATAGGTTGTTCGTTGCTAAGTTTGAAGTAAATGTGTACATATGTATTACCAGTCGGGGAGAAAATCCAAATGTTAATTCTTTCACTGGGGGATTTAATGCTTGCTAGTTTCTATTGAAAAGGGGGATTTAAAGACATTATACATTTTTTTTGTTAGAATTCAATTGTATATTTTGGCGATGTCTGTGCATAAATATCTCTCTCTCTCTCTCTCTCTCTCTGACGTGGATAAATTTGAAAATAAGTAAATTCATAGTACATACATTAATTTATAAAACTATTCAGACCCACATAATTTAAAACATGAATAAATACTTTTATAAATGAAGTTTACACAATATACATGTAATACATGTATGTAAAGCTTCATCGCGCAATTCTTCAGAAAACATATCACATATATATGTAAAAATATAGGACAGTATATATGAATGTCATTTCTTATACGTTTGGGGATATTGAACGTGTTAATACCCATCTTCTGAAAGAAATTAATTTCACCACACCCCATTGATTTACATGACTTTTACCAGGGACTCATATCTACGTCAATGTACATGTCTGAAAATTTCTCATGAACTTTTCATACATACTGTAAGCTTATATAGATATTGACCCCGTGTACATGTAGATATATATTTATATATAGACCATGTTACCAGATACACATGGTCAATTCTAAAATTGGACATGACGGTGCAGTAAAAGTATGGCCAACATTTTACTTTAGACTGGGGTACATTGCATTCGTGGGTTGCTACCAACACACCGGAGTTTGTCTGGTGTACAAAGTAAATAGATATCAATAATCAAGTTAAACTCCCTTTAACTTTTAAAGTTTTAACTCTTGTGACAAGAGTTATCATGTTGACTCGATAAGGATCCACCAATTTCTGCTAGCATTCTTATCTCCCAAATCAATGGGATTCATTGATTAAACTTGTTTAATTTCTTAAAATCTAAGTTGGATATCTATGTACACTTCATGGTCCCAAGTTACGCGATAGTTACATTGCACAACAAAATACGTACGGAGAGAGAGAGAGAGAGAGAGAGAGAGAGATTAGCAAACCGGTAAATTATTTCCCTAGTGGGGAGAAATTTGATTTATCATTTATTTTTAATTTCCTTTTGCTGAAATAAATTAAACTGTTCACATACACTTTTAAAAGAACTTATTTCACTCTTATCGCATACATATTTATGCATGCAGTCAATAGCGCTGAATAAATATTTCAGGTACATATTATAGACTTCTTTCAATTTCACGTCAAATAGATTTAGGACAGGGATCTTTAAAAACCACTTTTATGGGTGATAAAAACTCTCTTGTTTGGAGCTATTGATTTAAGTTCTGAGTTAGTGCCCAGCAGAACAAATAGAAAGTTCAGAAGCGTTTTTGTTAGATTGGAAATTTAATACCAAAAACGTATTTTCATTCTATACTGAACAAAACGGGTGTTGTTTAGCGACTGAATATACACTATGTCGGCATACAAGAAGTAGTATGTCATACCATAGCTCGTGGCTGTCAAGTCTTTACAGACAAACTTTCGTAAAATATTTTTTGCTCCGGCATAAATAAAAATACCAGAAGGCAGTTTTTCAGCGCACCTGTTGAGTCAATCTTCAAGTTTAACTTCTTGCAGAAGAAAATTATTTTTCTGAATATTATCTTAAACACCAAACAGCACGATAGTTTTATATATCTGTTTGGTTTGAGGAAGATTTTTCAGTTTTTCATGACCGAATGTTTCCTCAAAAGTTTATACCTTAATTAATTCAAGTATGTAATAT